CAAAACAAAAAACAAGACATGGCACACGTGTATGGATGCATGCAAACACACGCACACATACATGTACATGTGTTATCAAGCAATTATGGTAAACACATGAGTGCATTCTGCAATCTGGCCACGGTGTAGTGTTATGTTCCTAAAGACCTCTTGGAGAGTTGCTGCTAACTGTTATACGAGAGATCGAAGACAAGAACACCCACATTACAAGATACAAGAATTGATGAATGAAAGTAGTACAATGTATTGACAACTGTTAGCCTGCACTGCAGCAGACAGTACAGTCCAGTTCCAGGACTACCATAGTGTAGAGGAGAGAGAATTTGATCATTCGTTCGCCTTTCTTTAGCTACAATCACAGGAGTGGTATGACTGCACTGTTGTGGACAGTGCGACTGATTGAAATCCGTTGGAATACCCGGGGGCGGCGCCCTGACTTGCTTAGTGCGGGCATACACTGTAACACTGGGAAAATAGACCAGCAGTGGTGGCCGCTTGATTCTGAACGGATGTCACTGTCCGCAACAGTAGGTGCGAGTGCTGTAGGTGCGAGCGCTGTAGGTGCGAGCGAGTGCACTACACGTATGTGCGAACGCTATAAAATCACAGCGAGTGCTGTAGGTGTGACGAATGCTAACTTACCGTGGGCAGCCACGTGCTCACTGCTTCTGATAGGCTGAAATCCAACAAATGGGATTTGCATGGACAACACCAGGCCCATGATGAAGAATGTTGTGTATGCTGCAACACCAACAGAAACACAAAGTCAGAGATTCAAAAGAAAATTTCAAATGTACAAAAGACGAACCGTGATTCATCGATAACTGGTGGAAAGAGAGTAGTGTTGCGACCAGAACGTGGAGGTAATAGCTTCTAGATCCAGGGCCATCACTATCCAAATAACTCTTCTGGCTTATTCATTGTCACCAGTATGTCTTTTAAACGATGTAAATTAAATTTGAACTCGGATGGTGAGCCAATTTAATTATGGTTAAATGTTTCAGTACTCCTTGTCAGTTTTGAGCCATTTTGTCGCATTCGCTGACTGTACTGTAAAAGCAGAAATTTTCGGTGGTGTTTTATTTTCGGTAACTTCGGTGCCGACAATTTTTACCGAAAATAAAACGCACCGAAATTTTCGGTACAACCGATACTGTATACATGTAGTACTAGTACACTTACCTGGAAAACGGGTTTTACCGAAAATTTCCCGCTACCGAACCGCCGATTTTGGCGAATACCGAAAATATTACACCACCGAAAATTTCTGCTTTTACAGTATATGATCTGGTTCCGTCAATGGACAGTTAGTCACAACTCGTAACATTTTGTCCTTCTTCTTTTTACCTTAAATTAAAATTAGGGGCCGTTTACATCAGAAAAATAAGCCCGGGCTTATTCGTCTTGGGCTTATTTTTCAACCGTTTACATGACGGTTGTACGAGGCAGAGAGTTCGGGTGGGTGACTGCGAGTTCTGTGTGTATTTTTCAAATCCCACATGATCGCAGTGGTAAATGTTCGTGGATGATGAAATTTGGATCAAGAAGTGCCTGCTCATGCTTCTACAGAAAAGAAGCCCTGGGGGGGGGGATAAGCTCGGAGGCCAAGGGTAGGGCTAGTTCAGCTCGGGTCGAGCTGAATAAGCCTGCCACACAAACGACTGCGTTACAGATCAAGGCAGGCTTATCGTACGTAGCCTTGGGTTGAATAAGCCCAGGCTTATTTTTCTCATGTAAACGGCCCCTGAGTCACTGGTGTCACTGGAAAGGACAGCAAAACAAACCCCAATCTCCCGCGACACCACTGCTTACAAGGGCTGAGTCGGGTAGCATTTTCTTCGGGTACTGTAGAGGCAGAAAATTTCGTCGGTCAATAATTTCGTCCAACTCCAAAGAAAAGGAGTTCGTCCGGTTGAAAATTTCGTCCATAGATCATAAGAGTGTATAGAAACGCTGGACAAATCGATATTCGTCCTACATTTAATTTAGTCCAAAAGCTCCTTGGACGAAAAAGACGAAATTAAATTCCAGACGAATATTTCTGCTTATACAGTATCAGGTTCGGGTAGTTTTCCACGGGTAGCAAGGGTACCCTGTCAGGTAATGTTTCCATGGTAATTCACAGTGCACCCCTTCCCTTGCACACTGGGTAGACATGCGGAGTATTATTTACATGAATTTGTACGCGTGCACTGTACATGATGTCATCAGCGACTTTGGGTTTTCGGGTACTATTCTGTACCCGTCTACCCGAGGTCCTCACGGGTAGCACGGGTACCCGACTACCCGTACACACCGCTACTGCTTACCCACGTAGAGGCGAGAATTGAAGCGTCCCATGAGCACCAGGGCAAAGACGTGCATGGGAATGAGGTTGATGATGAACACATAGCCACCCCAGGCAGAGACCTAGTGAACATACACATGCACGCACCACACACACACACACACACACACACACACACACGCACAAGCATGCACGCACGCACCCACGCACACACACACACACACACACACACACACACACACACACACACACACACACACACACACACACACACATATGCACATGCACGCACACACATGCAACAACACAATGGCCAAAAAGAGGAGCGACACAGAAGAATTCAGTCACAACGAGAACCAACAAGCCGTCCGTGCACCCAGATAATGGTCTGACACGTGTAGGACATTGTTTACCAAATGCACTGGATGACGGGGACGGTGTTTACAAAATGCACTGGATGACGGGGACGCTGTTTACAAAATGCACTGGATGACAGGGACGCTGTTTACAAAATGCACTGGATGACGGGACGTTGTTTACAAAATGCACTGGATGACGAGGACGTTGTTTACAAAATGCACTGGATGACGGGGACGTTGTTTACAAAATGCACTGGATGACGGGGACGTTGTTTACAAAATGCACTGGATGATGAACAGCACGCTTACCATATAGAAGTACGCCAGGGCAGCTAACGACGCCCAGAATACTGAGCCCGTCTTCATGCTGCGGATCTACAATAGGATATAGCAAAGAGCAAACTCAGTCGTGCCGGACCTGCCAATTTAGATGCCTCGCGCAGTTTTTCAGAACCATGCACACAACATAGCAAGCAGACAAATCATCAGACGGCCACCTACCCAGAGAAAGTAGGTGAGCATGAGCGCAAAGATGGCAATGCCTTCGTTGTCGTACGACCCAGCCACTGACCGGGATACATACCCAGGCACTGTGCACACCGACAAGAACAAACACAAACACAAACACACAAGGATCATCATCGCTACAGTCCATTTCAAAACTATAGACGCGTACCTAGGCAAAAACCGTTATGCAAGCATCTATACCACATAAAGCCTGTGATCACTTTGTGCATAATGTTTTTCAAAATTGGGCGTCTGTTATCCAATCGTTTAGAAACTATAATGAGAGTAATTGTGGAGCGGACCTGAGCAATATTCCGAAAACTATTCTCAAAAAGTTCCAGCCAAATTTGAAATATTTCAAAAACACTGCGCGTCTATAGTTTTGAAATGGACTGTAGCTATAGTACTTCGAGTATAAGCAGCACCAAAGACTCCGCTGCAGCTTTCTTCACAGTCAAAACATGGCTGCCAACACAAGCAAGAGTACATAACCCACAAGAGTGCGCAGCTCCGAAGGACTTACTCACGGTGCAATTCTGTACAGTGTCATATACGAAAACGCCAAGACTTGCAAAAGTCAGCGTGTGTGTGTGTGTGTGTGTGTGTGTGTGTGTGTGTGTGTGTGTGTGTGTGTGTGTGTGTGTGTGTGTGTGTGTGTGTGTGTGGTGTGTGTGTGCATGTGTGCGTGTGTGCATGTGCGTGTGTGTGTGTGTGTGTGTGTGTGTGCGCGCGCGCATGTACGTGTGTATGTATGTGCGCGCGCACATGAGCGTGCGTACTGCGTGCGTGTGTGACTGCTTGTCCATACAAAACGAGCATGGGTAACTGCACAGTGCACCAGTGTTCGCCTGCAGAGCAAAGATTACTCACCGATGGCCATGAAACAGGCAGCAAATAGACCAGCACCCTCATCCCACACTTCGCGAGTCAGCAAGAACGTACATATTGCCGTTAGACCGCTGTATGGAAGACAAGAGTGCAACAGACACAAGCACAGCATAATTTGAGTGTAAGAATGAGATGGGGCGACTGCCCCATACAGGTAAGTACAGTACAAATGTGGTGCGTAGTTACCTGAAGAACGGGGCAAGAAACACGCACACATCGCGAATGTGCACAGTGATGTTGAGCGCGTTGAGGATATAGTGAATGCTGCCAGACGTCACCATCAGACCGGGGTACACCTGGTACAGACAAGCAAGGACACAAGCAACAGTGCAACATTCCACTTCATCGCTTTACAGGCTGGCACAGACAAGCAAGGACACAAGCAACAGTGCAACATTCCACTTCATCGCTTTACAGGCTGGTACAGACAAGCAAGGACACAAGCAACAGTGCAACACATTCCACTTTATCACTTTCTGGCCAGTCTGCAAACAGCAGGACAAACACTCTAGCCAAAAGCAAGATGACTTTGAGACATGCTGTTCTGTATGAGATAGGAACGTCTTTGCCCAGTGGCGCGGCATGCAGCATAGACTTACCGTTCCACCCACGATACGACCCAGTGGGTACCATGCTGTGTCGTCGAACCAGTTGAGAAAGTGGTAGAAGTCATGCTCGACCAGCTCCCGCGTAGCACGGTAGTTGAACCTGAGCCGGAGGGAAGAACAACGGAAATATATCGCACAGTTGATAACCTTCACCGGAAGGATACAAAGTAAAAAAGATGCAGAGTGTGGTTATAGGCCCATTGCGCAATGACGTAGTAGCTAGTACCGCCTCCCTCTCTCTGTCTGTCTGTCTGTCTGTCTGTCTGTCTGTCTGTCTGTCTGTCTGTCTGTCTGTCTGTCTGTCTGTCTGTCTGTCTGTCTGTCTCTCTCTCTCTCTCTCTCTTCATAAATCATTGGTCAGGACCGCCGGAAGCAATTTTTAACTGGTCCGGTCATACCATACCCGCCGATGATCTGACCAACGTTCGAAAGTTCGAAAGAAAATTCGAGTCTGGGAATGAGTACAGAAACAAAGGTCGAAACTTCGAAAACTTGGACGCGAAGTTGCAGTGATTTGCGAAAGTAACTTTCTCTTTTCTCGGTACGCATTTGACTACAGGGAGTAGTAATCTTACAGCCCCCTGCTTGAGACAGAGCTGCACTATATGGTATGGTGCTAAAAGATTCAAATAACTTCGAGAAAAAGTCATTTCGGATTGCTAAACCTCACAAGGTTTCCTTTTTCGAAATAGATTTTCGCGAAATATCACCACCACCACCACCAAAAGTTCGAATTTTCGCGTTGCTAAACGTCCTTAATATAAGATTTGTTTCAAGTAATCCCCATTCCATAGTTACATAGATTCGCTGATGATGAATGTAACAAGAAAACAGTTCTGAACAAATCCTCCCTTTCCCTTTCGTTGTGTGCCTTGCAATCATCGTTTCACATTTTACCCATACATGTCGACATTTACGAAATGCTTACAGTGCAATTAGTCGGCCTTGTTGCTATAATATTACCGTTAAGTACCGCCAGAGCGCCCCACCATCTCATCCTGTCGTGGTCGTATTGCGGAGGTGGTCTGCTGTCTGTAGGTCATACGACATGAACCTTGTACACATATTGCACGTTTTGCAGTCAATTCGAACCTTCCAGCGGACACAAGCTCCACACAAAAACCTGCCACGTGTGACCTTAGTACACTAAGATTCTCACATCGTACAAGCTTCGTTGCACTCTGCCATACGATTTTCCTTCCTCTGGCTGTAAAATCAAGGTGGGGAGCTCTCGCGAGACGGGGCGCTTTGGCGGTACTTTACGGTAAAACTGCAGTCTCCGAAACGCTTGGTTAATAAAATAGAAAAGGTGACAAAACACATTGAGGCCTCCCAGTCTCTCCGGAGGCGCGGGTTCGAATCCCACCGCTGCCACCAATGAGACAGGTTATTGTCCAGAATCCAACTGACTACAAATCACTACTGAGGCCTAACTATATTCTGGCCAAGGCAGGGTTCTAGCCAGGTCAATATAGTAGGGGGGCGGTCATGGGAAAAAGTTACCCCATGACCCATTTTTTTCCATCGTCCAAAATTGTCTTGCCATTCAAAATGCAACATACAGGTGAACCCCGACTTCACCCCTCACAAATGTGCCTTTATGAACCCTCTAGTAGTGACTATCAACTGTATTTTCGTTGAATGGCGTGAAAAAACACAAAAATCGGAAAATGAGTAAGGGGCGGCACTTTTTCACAGGGGGGGGGGGGGGGGGGGCGCGCAAACGGAGTAGGGGGGGGGGGGGGGGGCGCTGCGCCCCCCTACCCCCCTTTGGCTAGAACCCTGCAAGGTGTGAGAGTAGCCAGCAATAGGCGCCAAGCGTTGCAGGCAGCACAAGCGCAGGTGTGACATGTGGTATGGTGTGCAAGTGCCACCTATGGACAATATCAACACCTAACAAGGCAGTGTGAAGATAGCACCAAATGGAAGGTGTGATCGTCACGGTCCAGCTCTCACAAGGCGCACGTGGCAACAACTAATAATTGATTGTTCTCCAGATGTTGGGTTGCGAGCCATTCATGTGCAAAGGCCTAATTGTATACTCAAATATTATTGGATTCACCGGACACGCGAGTTTCAAAGTCTGGAGATGTTGAGCAGTCGCTGCGGGGATGACGATTACACCATAGCTTAGTGGTAGAGCATCGGTGCACATAAACGAGGGTCCCCGGTTCGAGTCCTGGTGGGGACAGTCCCAGTTTTTCTTCAGACTTTTCCCATTTCAACTCCCTCAACCTTATGAATATCAAATATCGAACGTTTCATTTTTTTAAATATTGAAATAATAGATATGGCCACGAAAATATTATGGTGTCGACTTCTCACCCCATTCATTTCGCCGTGCGAGGAAGCAGGAATAGCTATATCACTGTACAATAAATGCAAGCCAGTAGTAGAAGTGCTCCGCGAAGTGCTAAGTGTGTGATCAATACTTTAGGTTATCGCATTTTCAAAATTGAACACAAATTTTTGAAGACTCACCATGGGTCAAATTCGTGGATTATGCTCTCGAAGCGAATTACTGAGAACAACCTGCTGGAGAATCCCAGAAACCAGGCGACGATCAGTACTAAAACCACTATTAGCCTCTTGGAGCCTTCGTTGAAGGACTGGGCATCCATTGCCATCATCTTGGACGCTTCATTGCTTGAACCTCACTCCCGAACGAAAAATACTTGCTGCTTCCTGGAGGGAAAGCCCCCTATTTTTAAAAGAACCATCAACACAACGTCATGTCACCGACCACTGCCTGTGCTGCACGAGCCGTGGTAGTACGAGTAGATCTATGAGTCGTTATGTCCTTCGTACATCTACGAGTACGAGTAACAGCAAGAGCAGGGAGTCGTAAAAGCCTTTTACGACTCCCTGGTGAAGAGTGTACAATATGTATCTATTATTGCACGATTAAAGAGGTCAATATATGAAATATAGAACGAGTAAAAGACCGAGGTCCCCCGAGGTCTTTTACGAGGTCTATATTTCATATATTGACCGATTATGAGGGCAATAATAGATTTATCACGACATAGCATACCTAAAACTGTTTTTGCTTTGCTATAGGAAGAAAGGAATACTATTGTAATAGTATAATAGTATGTACATATGCCGTTTACATTGGACATTACTTCTGTGTAAACCGAAGTTTTCAGTTGTCTCTTGTAGTATGTTCCCCAAGTTCTTTGACTGAGAATCTGAAAGTTTGGGTTCAAATCCCAGCATTTGGCTTCAGATTTTTCTTCTTTCAGTTCTGATTTTTTTCTAAGTTGAGGAAAAAGTTCTATTAAAGTCCTCGGGCTAAGTGGTCAATAATAAGTGGTCAATATAAGCGGTCAATATATGCTGATATTTGACCGCTTAGAGATCACAAGTTTCTGTGGGGGTCAATAATAAGAGAGTGATAAGTATTATTATTATTACCGAGTTTCAAATCAATAGTACTTACAGGATACCCTAAATGTGCCAATACAAGGTAACGGAAGCGAGAATGTAGAGGTGCTTACGGACTTACAGTGAGATTACAATCATTAAACCTGTATAAAAACCGACGTGAAGCCGAGGTTTTTATAATACTGGTGTATACAATCATGTACATTATGTACATGCTCAATCTGCGGACAGAACTGTTTCGTCCTTTGTGGACTCATCGGCGCAGCACAGAGTTCAGGCAGAGTGGCGTACACAAAGGCACACAATGAAAACCATGGCAAATTCCGTTGTCTCGGACTCAGAGTTTCATGGCTGAACCGATCATCAGACAGGGATAATGGTATAGGAGGCAGCGCTGGTATTATCTAAGTGGAGAGAGGTGTGATAATACATTAGCGGGAGGAGTAATCGTGTGAATGTACATGTACATGTACATGCATGCAGGGACAGGCAATTTTAGAGGCAGATGCAGTTGGTGCAGGTCTAGCACTAGTAAGCACGCGCTAAATCTCGCTCAGACACTAGCAGTAGCACCCTAACATGCATACGCCAAAAAACACTCACACCCACGCTCACACACATACTAACACAACACACACACACACACACACACACACAAACACACACACACACATATACACGCACACACACACACACACACACACACCTTGAACCTTGAACGCCCATTGCCGTAGCAATGATTAGCGATGGCTTCCTCACGCTGAGGCTCTAAAGTCTAAACTCGAAATCTGCCGTATGGCGCATGCCGCTTGAGGTCACCAGGACGACGGAACACTCTGTCACAGCGGTAGTTGGGGTACGGGATGTCTGGGGCTTCCTTCTCGACCCTCTGTCGACAACACTGAAACCAGGTGGATCTCTCCTGCGCTGTGTCATACCAGTCCGCTTCAGACAAACCGATGACAGCAAAGTCCGAGGACACAACATCCCGCCAGCGCTTCTTGAGACCATGTTGCGGGCGTTTGCAGGGCAGTTCGCCGAACAGCATCTGCGTGGGCAGCCGGGTCTCCTTCATCCGTGCAACATGACCAAGCCACCGCAAGCGGTGCTTCCTGATCACATCGGCCATGTCGACGTCCACCCCTGCCAGCTCACTCAGCGATGCTGACGACAATCTCTGAAAACACTGATAGTGAAAGGACAGTGTTGAGTCGGCGAATATGACCCGCTTTGATGGGCCATGTCTCCGCACCGTAGAGAAGAGCAGGAAGGACAATAGCACGATACACCAGCCGCTTGGTGTGGACCGAGAGATGTACGCACTGAAATATCGGATACCTGAGCACGCCGAACAGCCGGGACGCCTGCGCCAAACGAGCAGCGAGGTCCGCATCCACCGTTCCGTCAGCAGAGAGCACGCTGCCAAGGTACCGGAACCCGTCCACCATGTCAATCCTGCTATCACCACCGAGTTGAACGGGATCAACTGATGTTGGTTGACCCACCGCCATGCCCTTCGTCTTCCTAATTCTGACGGTCAGTCCCCATCGCTGTGCACACAAGATGAACTCGGACGTCATGCACTCAAATCTTCCTCTGGTGGTTGCATACAAGTTTTACAACGCTGCATCATCGGCGAACTGGGACTCAGTCACCCTCGTCGCGGATAACCGGGACTTCGCCGTGCGGTTCCCCACCAGCTTGCGACCGTTTCTGAACAGCAGGTCAACTCCAGTGTCTGGACAACGTGCGCGCCAGTCCGCAACCACAAAACTGAAATAAAGGTTGAAGAGGGTAGGTGCTAGGGTACATCCTTGACGCAGCCCATTAGTCACAGAGATGTTGTCGGAAAGCTTACCGTTGACTCGCACCTTCGCAATCATACCCTCATGAAGGGACCTGATGAGTCCCAACATAACCGGCGGAACACCCAGCCTATCCAGCACACTCCAGAGCGCTGTGCGGGGGATGGAGTCGTACGCCTTCTGAAGATCTACAAACAAGACGTAAAGAGAGGTATTGTGCTCAATAGTCTTCTCCACTAGTTGACGTGCACAGAAGATCATGTCCGTGCAACCTCGACCTCGCCGAAAACCGCACTGAGAATCCGGGAGAATTTCCTCAGCCATAACCTGCAAACGGTCCTGCATAACCCGGACAAACACCTTTCCAGCGACATCCAGTAAGCTGATGCCCCTCCAGTTATCACAGCAGCGAAGGTCACCTTTCTTGGGGACAGGGACCACCACCGCATTCCGCCAATCATCCACTACTGAACCCTTGGCCCAGATGTCGCCCAAGAGTTGGTGGAAAGCAGCAAGAAAGTCTGCTCCAGCGTGGACTAGCATATCCGGCAATATGCCCGATTCACCACCAGCTTTACCGAGGCTCAGCTTCTTGAGAGCATGGCTAATTTATTGGTGCGTGGGCGGGTTATCTAACTCATGGCGGGTAGGACGGCGTTCCAGGGACTCCAGCGAACTGTCGGAAAACTGACTTGTGATGTTGAGGACACCATCAAAATGCCGCTACCAGCGGTCACAAGTTGCAGCAGGGTCGGTCGAAGGTTACCATTCTCGTCCATCACAGACAAGGGACGTGCTGGGTTACGGCCAACATTCACTTCCTGTACACACACACCCAACTGCACACACACACCAACACACATGCACAGACACATACACACCCACTCACAACATCCTAACTTACACACGGGCGCACGCACATACAGACACCCACAACACCCTAACTCGCACACGCAGAAACACACGCGCAAGCAATTCTTCGAGCAAAATATCGAAAACTCCTGAAAAAGAAAAATTAGTGGCCAGCAGAAACTTGCGCCGGTGAGGGCATTTGGATACCAGCTCACTTCTGAAGTTCTGTGCGTCCTCGTATACAGATTTCTGAGTCAGCATCGTTGAACACTTCCTTATTGCGTGAGATGCGTTGCAGCCTCTTGTTGATACCAGAGAGTAGTACAATACCGGTATTGTACTACTCCCTGGTTGATACCGATGCCGGTGGGTATTTGTCTCAGCACCTGCGGTGGGCGACAGGACCGCACATCGAGCGACAGGGGCGTACTGTTTGGTTTCCTGTACGGCTGGAATGTTCCGGTGGCGAGATTCATGGTCACATCCAAGTACAGTAGTCGACGACTTTCTTGTTGGTTTCGATTGTTATTCTAGGGCCGTGCGCTTGGAATATCTGTATGAGTCGTTTGCGCGTGCGGTCAGATCATGATCTGTAGCGTCCTTCATTATCGCTAGTCCGTCGTCACGGTAAAGACCCACGCAGTGGTCGCCCAGGAGTGGACAGAGTTTGCTGAGAATGAAAGCCCCAACAAGCTTGCAGGCTTCTGCGCTGTCGTATCACCCCAATGTGACGTTGAATGACCCGTCCTTCTCCTTCTTCATCCACGCTTTGCCGCCGTCGAACAACAGCGACTTTCGTGCGTGTAGTATTGTCTCAATCACAATGTCCTTCTTGGATATTGGAAGGTGCGTCCCGGCATACGACAGAGCATCCAGCAGAAGGTCCTTCGTTATGCTGGGGTAAACCTCGACGATCTCGAACATGACGAAGGTGTACCGCGGCTTGTCTTCAATGCCCTCGAACCAATCAATGACCGCTGGCGTGTTCTGCCACAGATTCTTACGCACGCTGCTCCGCATAGGGCCGATAACACCATCCAGTATGGCTTTGCTTACGACGCCTATTTCGGACTTGGCGAGGTTAGCCTGCATGGCAGCTTGTCATGGAAGTCGGCTTTATGATCTTTTAATGTGATGAACGCTTCAATGCCCTTGAACCACTCGATGACCCTTGCAGCTTGCTTGTTCTGCCACAGATTCTTACATACATGTACATGTACATGTACGCTGCTCCGCATAGGGCCCATAAAAACCTCCAGTATGGCTTTGGTTACGTTCATCAAGAAACACTTCCCTGACACGATGCTGCAAAACTCCACTCGCGACCGCCTGTCGTGCCATGCAACTGCCGGGTCAAGGATGGAAGATCAAGGATAGAGCACCTTCCTACTGTAATATCAGCAAGAAATGTGGCCTATGCCTCACCGAAAACCTCCACATCCTGAAAGCTCCAAAGGCTACCTCCCTAAACAAGAGAAGTGAGCTGGTATCCAAATGCCCTCACCAGCACAGGTTTCTGCTGGCCACCCCAGTAACATAGACAGCAATGAGCGGCGTACCTTTTATGGTATGGTTCAGCCATGAAGCTCTGAGTCGCGGCGGAATTTGCCAAAGTTTTCATTGTGTGCCTTTATATATCGGTATACCCGAGGTCCCTTTGTTATATTTACATGTACATGATTGTATACCTCTCCATATTCACCGCGTGTGGCCCTCCTAATGGCTTGTTTCTCGCCGACAAATGCTGCTAATTTCCCTTAGTGACTTGCAGTGAAACCTAGTACCTGTCTAAGACGACCGCTCAAGGGACCTTCAAAACGTGGTCTCTGTTACCAGGTGGTCAAGGCGACCACTCGGATAAGGCGACCACCTGTCCTAGAAGACCACTGAAATCAGGACCAAAGGATGCTATTTCCAGTCAAATGACACTGGATAAGGAGATCACCTGGTAACAGAGACCACGTTTTTGAGCGGTCGTCTTAGAGTCAGTTACTGAGTTAGACAGGTTTCAATGTAGGTCCACCACTAAGTAAGTAGGCCTGTACTGCGTACTGTGTTTCAGCGGCATGACGTAATGTTGGAATTTCGCCGTGCATGCAGTCACACTCACAGTGGGCCTACACTAGTAATAGTAATACTACTACTAGTACTACTACTAATAGCATGCTAGCTGCCAGACCCCAGTTGCACACTCTTGCAGAGTCTGGGGGACTTGGCCCAAGTAGTTGGGGGTTATGGACTCTTGCTCGTACATGTAGTACTAGTAGATCTACGTGTTACTTTACTTTTGTCTTTAGTTCAAGTGTTGCTTACTAAAAATACAGTCTCAGTGTTTGACCATTGCGGCATTGGCATTGTTGACTGCAGTCTTGCAGTGTAGATACACCACCCAGGGGCGTAGCACCCGCTACGACTGGTACGACCATGGCCGTACCACTTTTCGAAAAGTGTGGTCCGTCCGGAACGTGCAAAACCGTAATAAAAAAATCAGGATCCATCGCGATGCATATGCGCATCAGACTTTGACCTTTTTCTAGACTCGTAGATTCCACTCGTAGATCTGCCATGCATCTGTGCATGTCCATGCACGTCTCTTCTGCCCGTGAAATAATTCTATGACTTATAAACTGTGCCAGAAGTTCCCAGAACGCAGGATTTTGTGTCTTTTTTACAAAATTTTCCCGGGGGAGGTCCCCCGGACCCCCCTCCAAAACGGCCTTCGGCCGCGCCGACCTTTGGTCGTACCACTTCCAAAACCCCTCCTACGCCGCTGCCACCACCACCATCATCCTCGCCACTTGCAGTTGTACAGTCTGTCTTTGTAGGTAAATGTAAATGTAACCAGCCTAGCCTAGCCTAGCCCTGTCAGCGACCACACGTCTTTTCCGTCTTCCATGCATGGTCTCACGTACCGGTCCGTCTTGATAGATCTGTTCATTGTTGTTCTGCATCATGCTACTGCTAGCGCGGTGCATGCAGCTGCCCTAGTCAAGGGCTAGGCCGCTGGCGCTGAGTCTTGACTCGTTTGTACACAATGTCATGCACTCGCCATCCCTCATAATAATCTGCTTGATCTGCGCAGTTCAGCTCAGCTGTGCATTGCCATTGCACTTGAACTGGGTTGAAGTCACACGTAACCCGGTCGTAGCGATAGCATGTAGCGGATGTCATTATGCAGTTGTTGCCCGGTGTTTTTAGCTGCTAGCAGGGAGTTTACGACTCCCGGGGATCCCTGGCTGCTACCCTCCTGGCCTGGGCCTCTGCCACATACCGGTATCAGCTCAGCGCTTGCCCCACATTCACTTCCACGAGTAGATCTACACAGCCTCGGCACAGTCATGACATTGTAGATCTACATGACTGTACAGAACGCATATCTTCGTGTACTGACTAGTCGACTCTCTGCCTAGCGCCACTGCACATACTCCATAGTATGAGATTCTGTGTGTAGTGAACTCGAGGATCGGCTTGGTGTGACAGAACTCAGAAGTAGTGGGCACGAAACCGTCGTTACAGCACTTTACAGTACCCAAGATACAACTATTAGTTCAAGTCCCTGTTTGTGCAGAGGGTGATCCGGGCACACGTCTTCTCTTTATCTCGGCCCTGCTTTAGGAGCTCCCACCGACGTTGCCCGTGTCACAGTGCAAGCGGCGTTTGTTTGTTGTCTTCTGGGTTCTATTATTGGTGATAGATCCTAATAATTATAATAATAATAGGAAGCACCATCCATCCAGGGCGTTTGTTGTAGTTCCAGAAAGCTACAGCCAGTACAGGATGTGTGGAAGCATGACTGCATGTGGCTGGTTGTGGGCCACCATATCCATCGCAGCAGCCGGAGCAGCCTGCACGTCTTTCTACTGGGCCGACTGGGTCCACGGACAAACTCGCCTGCCTTACAGCGTCGGACAGAACGCTACGTTTCGCTTTGGCCTGTTCCGCCGCTGCAACTACATCCAGGTGAACCAAAGTAGCACTTCTCTCAACCAGGAGGTTACGCTGCGCACAGAGTGTGGCCGGTATCAGAATTTCGATGATATCCCTAGTGTTTATTGGCAAACGAGTACGGTGCTGTTTGGTGTAGCGGCGGGCCTGCTAGTGTTGGTGGCGCTAACAGCGTTCTTCGCACTGTTCTTGGAAGATGTGTGCAACAAAACTCTGTCCAGAGCTGCTGGTGTTCTGCAAGGTGTAGCAGGTAAGGGTTAGTGCAAGGATGCCAACATGTGACCTTCCTTCCTGGGTGGAGGTGGAAATAAATGTAATGAGACAGTAGGGTTTTTTTTACTCTACAAGGATTTCGTGGCCGTGTCATGTAATTGTGCGGCATGGGTGAAAAGCCAAGTGGACCACTCGAAAACTTTCATTCCTAGATCTACTCAACCTCATCATCTCATGTGCATGTGAGTCGCCTAACGCGTAGCGTTGTTGGAGCTCTGTGTGATCGTTGTAGTCACAATGAGAGGCGCTGAATGTAATGGTGCTGTTTGCTAGCAGTAGCAGAATCTCTAACCATGGCGGTGAAAGGTATCACTCTTAGTTGGCTAGGTCTTTCAAGATACCGGTACAACAACTACACTGCCGACACCTCGTTGTGATGACGGAGTCCGTCTGTGTCTTGACTCTTGTAGATCAGGTCATGATTTCCTGAGTGAATCATATCACACTGTCACTGGGATGTGTTGCTGTGGTGCTGGTTGTACTGGTACGATGATATTATGTAGATCTACATTGAAGCCATCATGGCTGTGGGCCATGTAGTCTCATATTCTCATCCTAACTGTACAGAATGGAGACCCCCTCGATAGTAGGCCCAAACAGCCTCTGGGGAATCCTTTAACCCTTTGGAGTCCATAACTTTTTTGCTTCCTCAGTATTTGTGGCCGTCACGAAAATGCGCACTCAATTTCCAACATAACTTTGGTTCTACTTCACCGATTTTGAAGATCTTGGGCTCGTTGGAAAGCTCTTGATGAGAGAAATACAATGAACCCAAACTCGCCAAGAGCACTACTCATTGTCCGCCACAACCCGCTCGAAACGCGAGACCAGCTCCAGATCTGAGACGAAATCGGTGTCTTGCAGCCATTTCACTGAATCTAGCTCGGAACTGTTCAAATGTTTTCGAGTAGCAGCTTACTTTGCCGTGACTTCGCGCCGCGCCGGTCCTGGCACGTGCCGCTTGTCCTGAAGCTGGGAAAATCCCTTTCGCACCACTGACTCGCAGCACGCAGTGCAGACAATTTTAAATGTTTGATCGCTCGCCGGTCACTTGAACTTCATCGGAGAGACTTCGGACCTGTGCGAGGCGATAGCTGAGAGTTTTCTCTACCACCTAGACCCTTTGATTGTTGAATTCGGTCGAGATTTGGCCGAGAACCGAAAGTTTGACTGCGCCCACATGCATACAAAATGCCCATGGTTCGAAATTGAACCATGGACTCCAAAGGGTTAAATAAATTATACAAATCACTTATACCAATGAGACCAAGAGGCAAGACTTATACATGGTGTGCCATTATTATGGCTATGATGTTTCCTGGCACCATCCAAACGTGAACACACCATACCTAGTACATGTGTGTACAATGTACAAAATTCAGTCCATTTTTTGTATAGATTTGTATTCCATAGATGGTGACGTGTCATGTAGAAGCAGATCCAGTTCTACCCATTGCATGTAGAAGCAGATCCAGTTCTACCCATTGCATGTAGAAGCAGATCCAGTTCTACCCATTGCATGTAGAAGCAGATCCAGTTCTACCCATTGCATGTAGAAGCAGATCCAGTTCTACCCATTGCATGTAGACTGAGTGGCAATGTGAGAACGTAGGCGGCTTGTAACTGCTGCATGTGAGTACGCTTAGACCCAGGCCAGGGTCTATGAGTGTAAGGCGCATGGGCGGTCCTTGACTGATACTGCCTATCACGGTAGTACTGGGCCACAGGGCACTCTGGTCCACACTGTGGCCGGGGCTGGGCACAATACCAGGCCTACAGTGTATGTGCATACCTGCAGGACATCACTGTCTGGTGAATTGGTGATTATGACGTCCTCCCTTCATCCCCTGGGCCCCTGTAGATCTGCTTTGCGATGAGCAGCGTGGAGCACCCATAGGTATTCATAGACCTGTGAAATGTGTTTATTATAACACACATCTGGAAGCTTTGGAAGAGGGTGGTTCAATGGTGGAGAATGTTCTAGGATGGTGGCAGTAGGTACATCTACCTTAAGACGGTTCTTCCATACAATGCTGTCGGGTACCGATGAACTGGAGGGGCATCGCTGTAGCCTGGGCTCTTCATGAGATCTCCGTACAGCTGACCCATCATGTCCATACTACATACCGGGGTATCCTGTACCAGTGGTAAAATGCTAGCCTAGTCGTTCTTCGGCGGCCAGTAGCACTCTAGGCATTGTGCGCCATAAAGAGTAGTCAAAGCATGCAGTCGGCTCTGCACCATCGGGTACTAGTGAACCACAGTGAGTGATGCAGTGCTCTGCACCATCGGGTACTAGTGAGCCACAGTGAGTGGTAAGACTAACAGTGTAATGTGTACTCTGCACCATTGGGTACTAGTGAACCACAGTGAGTGGTAAGACTAACAGTGTAATGTGTATGCAGCATGATCCCGCCCGATGATCATCGCTTGCTGTTTCAGCCAGGAATTGGGGTTTGTGAACTTTGCGGTGCAATATTTTTTGGAAGTGGAGCCCCTTGTCAGTATGAGTAAAAGTTACGTATGTTAAATTTTGCTGAACTGAAGAAGTCTGGATGATGGATCTCAAATGCAGTCTCTCCATCTACATACCGATACCGATACTGTTTTCTGGCGATCGCTTAGTGCGTGAAACTCAGAGTTAAAGCACTTGTTCCGTCCTCTTATTGTTCGAACTAGCTCTGCCTCTCGGTATTGAGCACTCTCTTGGACAGCCTGGAACCTCTCTGTTTTACTTACCGACGATGCCTTTACTTTCTTGACATTCGGCATAGGACATGCACGGATAGTCGGATACTCGAGACTGGACAGAACGCACATATACCTTGCCTTTTACGTAACCCTTTTTACCACATAACCTCCGTAGAAGAAATACATGTGGGGACTGCACTGGTGACGGAAGGACCACGGGCAGAACCGTGTTCAAAAAGGTCTGTACTGGACCATGTACGCTACACTAAACAAGGTTGACAGTTCTACACAAACCATGCATCTACAGTGTAGTGCCAAAACTGGCATACAGTACCCTGGCATACAGTACCCTGGCATACAGTACCCTGGCATACAGTACCCTGGCATACAGTACCCTGGCACACAGTACCCTGGCACACAGTACCCTGGCACACAGTACCCTGGCATACAGTACCCTGGCATACAGTACCCTGGCACACAGTACCCTGGCATACAGTACCCTGGCATACAGTACCCTGGCACACAGTACCCTGGCACACAGCACCCTGGCATACAGTACCCTGGCATTCCACTGGTGAAGCTGTTTGTCCGCTTTTGGTTCATGCACTGGTTGCTTTCAAGGCAGTCCATAATCATAATGTACTGCATGTGTTAGTAAAGTCCTCATGGTTTCATTGGGGCATGCGCGTGCGTGTGTGTACGTGTGTGTGTGTGTGTGTGTGTGTGTGTGTGTGTGTGTGTGTGTGTGTATTCTCCACGATCGTCGTCGTTGTTGTTACCACAGCATTGAGCATGGCAGTGACACTCTTCCTGTATCCCGTCGGTTGGGATGCCGAGTCGGTGAAGGATGAGGCGTGCGGGCCCGATGCTGGCAGTTATAAGCCGGGATCATGCTCGATTGGCGTGGCATTCTACATCGGCATCGGTGCAACAGTAGTTGCCATACTAGCTACCGTTATGTCGCCTCTATCCCAGCGCAAGAAGACGAGAAGTGACTACGTGATTTGAGTGCGCACGTCTACAAACGGCGAGAGCCTGTCTCTGTCGTGTCTCTGCCGTGTCTAATTCTCTGGTTTCATCGCAAGCACTATCAGCAGCGCACAGGCTTGCAACATTCTATTCCACAGGCAAGAATCAACTGAACTGCCCCATGCTGTCACACCCAACCACACACCCACCACCACCTCGGCGTGTGTAACAACACATCATTCTAAGCTGAGATAATCCGCATCCACACCGATATCTTAGAGCAGCAGCAGCACTACACTTCACACATGGCGTGTGTGCAGATAGATCGGATCGCCTTTAGACTTGCTGTTCACAGTCACAGAGGACACTTTAGCACTCTTCCACGTGCACCCACACTGCATGAAACGGAGAGTAATGCTTCTTCAGCTTGCTGGCGTAATGACCATTGCTAGCATGCATATAGCCCGTACGCAACCATTTTTTTCCGTACATGCCATCTCTTGAGCATGAACCGCTTTCAACCGGCCTACGCACGACTTCATTATTATTTAAATTTCCCTTCCGGCTGCAAGAAAAACTAAACCCGCCCTCATAGCTCATGACATCCGACCAAGACCAGTATTTCACATCGGAAAATACTGACAGACATATCTTCAAAGTTCACCCGTTCACACCAGTTTTAGGTTTTGCTGACTTTCTCATTCGCTGAGAATTTTTCTTCAACTGTACAGCATTCACTTGCATGGATTTCCTTGCTCTTCTTTCGACATTGCTTTTCCAAACAAAAATCTTTATGAAAAAGTGGTACCAGAGCTGTTCTATAAATATTGCTATGACAATTTTCAAAAATAAAAGTACTAGTAGATGATGCGTTGTGCTCATGTGACTCAGAATGTGCTCATGTGACTCAGAATGCGATCATGTGATTGGGTGCTTGCCTGGCAATGCCTGCGTGGTGTGTAGTGAATATTGAGAGCACACCGCCAATGACAGAGTGGAGCTTACTGGCATGCCGCCTTTCTGAAGCTCCCGGTGCATGCAGCGTGTCGGTGTGTCTTGCTTGAGTGTCTTTCTGCTGAGTATATTTCTGCCCGACTGTATCTTCAAACGTACTGTTGTTATTGGTCCATGCTCAGTACAATGGTGACCAGCCGCAGAAACGGTCATAACATGAGGCATTGTTCTCATTGGTCTTCAACTCAGAGGAAGGCTGGCTATAATTCAGGTTTAGGGAGCACGCTTTTAAAGCAGCAGCGGAAGTGTGCACTTGGCTTGCTTACTCAAGGGAAAGCAATAGCACTTCTCTTCAACAGAGCGGACACAGGTGGTGTTGAATCCGCCAGGACATGCAGCAACGAGGTTGCGCTTCAAGCCACAGCGCATCACACCTTGCAGCACACGACAGCCCAGTCCAGTGCAGCGCAACACTCTCTTCGGAAATGCGTACCACACGGCAGGGGTTGTCGGATTCAAGTCTCAATGCATTGCAAATGTGCAGACCGCAAAATGAAAAGAGCTAGTGTGCTTCCGGTCGCAAACACCTTGAAAAACACGGCCAGCGAGATGGAACGTGAAGTCCAGAGAAACACGCGTGATTATCCACTTCACAAACAACAGAGGCAAAAGGCTGTGACTATCCACTTGAAAGGAGGGACACACCACGGGCGCTAATTAGCAATCTGTCAGATAATGTTCCGGTTTGGCATTAGGTAGATCGAATAGGAAAGTAAACTTAGAATTATGTACACTGTTCTCTAACCCGGACATGGCACTGTGGACGTATTAGTCGTTTACAGCGTGCCACGGCACAATCTAGCATGGAAACACAGGAGTATTTTCATCAATAATAACAATAATAATAATATGAGCAAGGCAGAAAGAACTACGTAGGCAAGCACAGCAAGAAATACAGCAACAATCCAGCCCGCACAGTGAAAACAAAAACAATAAAAAATGAGAAGAAGTTCAACATCAAGATACAGTTGTGTGGGTAGGAACCAGCCCTGACAACAAATTCCAAAACAGGAAATACACTAACGATGGGAAAAGGAGGAAAGAGCAGAAAGACAGTGAGAGGAAGAGGACACAGATCGGAGTCGTATTCGGCAAGGAGGGAGAGCGTGTTCTGATCGATCGACGCCCGACTTACAAGCGGAGCGGAGCAAACAGCTGCCCAAGGTCCACGACCGAGTAGCCGCTCTGTTCGAGGAAACGCGCCGCGACACGGTGAAGCGACTCACACATGCCTTGGAAGGGGACGTCTAGAACCTCACCTATACAACCAGGACAGGAGAAAAACACAGTGTACAAGCAATTCACACCTAATAAAAAATTCAATTCATAAAGAACCTTATCGTGCCAGCGATCAAAAGGTATCATTGCAGGATAAATGTCAGACTGTAGCACGATACAAACACGCCAAATCATTCCTCCATATCAGTATAAGCCTGTGGCACATTATGTGCCAGATATAAATTTCTTATTGCCATCCATAGTGATTAGTGGTTCAAGTATCTGCCATTAATTAACTCATCATCCCGATCAGATCATCCCAATAAAGAATAACTATCATTATTAACCCTTTACCGGTTAGAACAGGTGTGAAGGAGAAATGGTAGATAGGGGGTAACTTCTATCATCAGCACAGGGCAGTGTGCATCGCTCAGCAGCGGCAGCAGACCTTGCTTTATTCAAGCTGACAGCACTGGTTAGCTAGACACGGAAAATTCTTGTAGATGCCAGGACTCCAGTTCACCAGTACCTCACGGACATATCTTGGTCGACACGCACTGGCGGATTGAGAAAAATGACCAAGATGTCTTGGAGAAAGGATGTCTTCTCCGCGGGTCTTTCCCAGCATCAAACAACAGGATTCACTTCGGCACTGGCCCTTCACTGTACATCGATCAGCATGAACTCGGGCGTGTACATAGACTCAGTGTTGCCACATCACTTTAGCCAAATATCAGTAGGATGAAAAATGCACCATCCGGGGCTTTGTCCCAGGTCCCCCATTCATAATAGCCCCAGTATACACACGCACCCATGCGACAAATTTCACAGTTCTGAGTGCGACTCGGACTGACTTTCCGATTCCCCCCCCCCCCCCCCCCCCCCCGAGACAGAGGATGATTTCACTTAGCACCTGAGGAGGGAGCTATGGAAACACTCATAGCGACCACTGTAGCACAAAATCTGGATCCTGACTTTTAAACCAAGCAGAAGGCCAACATTGGGCATTTTCATGGCTGCTGTCAGCAGGAGAAGGTCAATTGTCGGCAGGTTGTGACATGCCTCCAAAATCGGCAGGCTACTGACATGTCGGCAGGTTGTGACATGCCTCCAAAATCGGCAGGCTACTGACATGTCGGCAGGTTGTGACATGCCTCCAAAATCGGCAGGCTACTGACATGTCGGCAGGTTGTGACATGCCTCCAAAATCGGCAGGCTACTGACATGTCGGCAGGTTGTGACATGCCTCCAAAATCGGCAGGCTACTGACATGTCGGCAGGTTGTGACATGCCTCCAAAATCGGCAGGCTACTGACATGTCGGCAGGTTGTGACATGCCTCCAAAATCGGCAGGCTACTGACATGTCGGCAGGTTGTGACATGCCTCCAAAATCGGCAGGCTACTGACATGTCGGCAGGTTGTGACATGCCTCCAAAATCGGCAGGCTACTGACATGTCGGCAGGTTGTGACATGCCTCCAAAATCGGCAGGCTACTGACATGTCGGCAGGTTGTGACATGCCTCCAAAATCGGCAGGCTACTGACATGTCGGCAGGTTGTGACATGCCTCCAAAATCGGCAGGCTACTGACATGTCGGCAGGTTGTGACATGCCTCCAAAATCGGCAGGCTACTGACATGTCGGCAGGTTGTGACATGCCTCCAAAATCGGCAGGCTACTGACATGTCGGCAGGTTGTGACATGCCTCCAAAATCGGCAGGCTACTGACATGTCGGCAGGTTGTGACATGCCTCCAAAATCGGCAGGCTACTGACATGTCGGCAGGTTGTGACATGCCTCCAAAATCGGCAGGCTACTGACATGTCGGCAGGTTGTGACATGCCTCCAAAATCGGCAGGCTACTGACATGTCGGCAGGTTGTGACATGCCTCCAAAATCGGCAGGCTACTGACATGTCGGCAGGTTGTGACATGCCTCCAAAATCGGCAGGCTACTGACATGTCGGCAGGTTGTGACATGCCTCCAAAATCGGCAGGCTACTGACATGTCGGCAGGTTGTGACATGCCTCCAAAATCGGCAGGCTACTGACATGTCGGCAGGTTGTGACATGCCTCCAAAATCGGCAGGCTACTGACATGTCGGCAGGTTGTGACATGCCTCCAAAATCGGCAGGCTACTGACATGTCGGCAGGTTGTGACATGCCTCCAAAATCGGCAGGCTACTGACATGTCGGCAGGTTGTGACATGCCTCCAAAATCGGCAGGCTACTGACATGTCGGCAGGTTGTGACATGCCTCCAAAATCGGCAGGCTACTGACATGTCGGCAGGTTGTGACATGCCTCCAAAATCGGCAGGCTACTGACATGTCGGCAGGTTGTGACATGCCTCCAAAATCGGCAGGCTACTGACATGTCGGCAGGTTGTGACATGCCTCCAAAATCGGCAGGCTACTGACATGTCGGCAGGTTGTGACATGCCTCCAAAATCGGCAGGCTACTGACATGTCGGCAGGTTGTGACATGCCTCCAAAATCGGCAGGCTACTGACATGTCGGCAGGTTGTGACATGCCTCCAAAATCGGCAGGCTACTGACATGTCGGCAGGTTGTGACATGCCTCCAAAATCGGCAGGCTACTGACATGTCGGCAGGTTGTGACATGCCTCCAAAATCGGCAGGCTACTGACATGTCGGCAGGTTGTGACATGCCTCCAAAATCGGCAGGCTACTGACATGTCGGCAGGTTGTGACATGCCTCCAAAATCGGCAGGCTACTGACATGTCGGCAGGTTGTGACATGCCTCCAAAATCGGCAGGCTACTGACATGTCGGCAGGTTGTGACATGCCTCCAAAATCGGCAGGCTACTGACATGTCGGCAGGTTGTGACATGCCTCCAAAATCGGCAGGCTACTGACATGTCGGCAGGTTGTGACATGCCTCCAAAATCGGCAGGCTACTGACATGTCGGCAGGTTGTGACATGCCTCCAAAATCGGCAGGCTACTGACATGTCGGCAGGTTGTGACATGCCTCCAAAATCGGCAGGCTACTGACATGTCGGCAGGTTGTGACATGCCTCCAAAATCGGCAGGCTACTGACATGTCGGCAGGTTGTGACATGCCTCCAAAATCGGCAGGCTACTGACATGTCGGCAGGTTGTGACATGCCTCCAAAATCGGCAGGCTACTGACATGTCGGCAGGTTGTGACATGCCTCCAAAATCGGCAGGCTACTGACATGTCGGCAGGTTGTGACATGCCTCCAAAATCGGCAGGCTACTGACATGTCGGCAGGTTGTGACATGCCTCCAAAATCGGCAGGCTACTGACATGTCGGCAGGTTGTGACATGCCTCCAAAATCGGCAGGCTACTGACATGTCGGCAGGTTGTGACATGCCTCCAAAATCGGCAGGCTACTGACATGTCGGCAGGTTGTGACATGCCTCCAAAATCGGCAGGCTACTGACATGTCGGCAGGTTGTGACATGCCTCCAAAATCGGCAGGCTACTGACATGTCGGCAGGTTGTGACATGCCTCCAAAATCGGCAGGCTACTGACATGTCGGCAGGTTGTGACATGCCTCCAAAATCGGCAGGCTACTGACATGTCGGCAGGTTGTGACATGCCTCCAAAATCGGCAGGCTACTGACATGTCGGCAGGTTGTGACATGCCTCCAAAATCGGCAGGCTACTGACATGTCGGCAGGTTGTGACATGCCTCCAAAATCGGCAGGCTACTGACATGTCGGCAGGTTGTGACATGCCTCCAAAATCGGCAGGCTACTGACATGTCGGCAGGTTGTGACATGCCTCCAAAATCGGCAGGCTACTGACATGTCGGCAGGTTGTGACATGCCTCCAAAATCGGCAGGCTACTGACATGTCGGCAGGTTGTGACATGCCTCCAAAATCGGCAGGCTACTGACATGTCGGCAGGTTGTGACATGCCTCCAAAATCGGCAGGCTACTGACATGTCGGCAGGTTGTGACATGCCTCCAAAATCGGCAGGCTACTGACATGTCGGCAGGTTGTGACATGCCTCCAAAATCGGCAGGCTACTGACATGTCGGCAGGTTGTGACATGCCTCCAAAATCGGCAGGCTACTGACATGTCGGCAGGTTGTGACATGCCTCCAAAATCGGCAGGCTACTGACATGTCGGCAGGTTGTGACATGCCTCCAAAATCGGCAGGCTACTGACATGTCGGCAGGTTGTGACATGCCTCCAAAATCGGCAGGCTACTGACATGTCGGCAGGTTGTGACATGCCTCCAAAATCGGCAGGCTACTGACATGTCGGCAGGTTGTGACATGCCTCCAAAATCGGCAGGCTACTGACATGTCGGCAGGTTGTGACATGCCTCCAAAATCGGCAGGCTACTGACATGTCGGCAGGTTGTGACATGCCTCCAAAATCGGCAGGCTACTGACATGTCGGCAGGTTGTGACATGCCTCCAAAATCGGCAGGCTACTGACATGTCGGCAGGTTGTGACATGCCTCCAAAATCGGCAGGCTACTGACATGTCGGCAGGTTGTGACATGCCTCCAAAATCGGCAGGCTACTGACATGTCGGCAGGTTGTGACATGCCTCCAAAATCGGCAGGCTACTGACATGTCGGCAGGTTGTGACATGCCTCCAAAATCGGCAGGCTACTGACATGTCGGCAGGTTGTGACATGCCTCCAAAATCGGCAGGCTACTGACATGTCGGCAGGTTGTGACATGCCTCCAAAATCGGCAGGCTACTGACATGTCGGCAGGTTGTGACATGCCTCCAAAATCGGCAGGCTACTGACATGTCGGCAGGTTGTGACATGCCTCCAAAATCGGCAGGCTACTGACATGTCGGCAGGTGTGGCAACACAGTAGACTGCACACACTCTGGCCTCCACGGCCGTCGGCATTTTTTTTCAAAATGGTGGTCCACACTTTTTGAATGTTGAATGGTCTTGGTGAGCCCTGAACATGACCTGCACTCTGAAATGACTGGTCTCCTAGGACAGGTGGTCTGTGTTTACTGGTCAGAGTGTACGTACAATACCGCTCAAGGAAATCGGATCAAGCGAGTGAATGCCATGCGGGGTGTTGTGCAGCCCTAGACCTCTGAAAGCTGGGATGTGAACTGGCGCAGGGCGCAAACACTCGATCCAACCAATCGGGGGATTTCATCGAGCAGCACAGTAGAAACATGGCCGGAGTTCCCCTCACTTTCATACCACAGGTGGTCTCTTTCCATGGTCTTAACCCAGTGGCTGCTAACCACAGGTTGAACTGTATTGTGCACGAGAACGGCACATCTCCAGCAAGGACTGCTCTGGAGAGTGCCTTGTTCAATGCTCCCGAGAAAACAACAGGGGGTGCCAGTGCTAACCTTGTCCCTTCTTCTTGGACTTGCGGAACCAGTCAACGTCAAACAGGCGGCTGTAGTATAGCAGTTGGTTGTAGAGCATTGTGTCGGTGTACTAAACAGGAGCAACAATACAGCACAACACATATAATGATATTGGCATATGCATTCCTGTTCCTGTTATCTCTACTCTACAGGAACGATCGCCCACATGCACAAGAGAATCTTCTTGCACCAAGGATAGCCAAGATTTGCCAAAACTAGGGGTGAAACAATTATACCAAATACTGGAGTACTTGCTCGTTTTTTTTAAATAATCGTACTCGGAATAAATCAGAGTACTCGTTCATACATTGTACATGTATTTACCACTGAAATCTGCAGTGTTCAGAGCAGCAGTGGGCAGATATTGATGTGCAGACTGTGTGGTGAACATTTGTTCACGAGTAGAGAGAGCCCAAATGACCCACCAACCAATATGCCCGAGAAAAATGACTGCTACCCGTTTCAATCAGGGTTGTATCATGTGATTTTAAGGCACTTGGTGTGCAATTTTTAGGAGATGAAAATACTCGAATATTCGAATATTCAATCGGAGAAAATCAGAATACTCGAACTCGGGATCTCAGTGCCAACTTTCACCTCTAGCCAAAACCTCTTCTTGCACAGACACAGACATTCACACTAACATTATCATGATGATGATGATGGTGGTGGCACTGGCAGTAAGCCAAAGAAAAAGATCGAGGGTGAAGACATCCTATCAAGAGAGCACTATTTCCTATAGATACCGTATTTCCCCGATTATAAGTCGCACCTTTTTACACTAAAACTCAAGGGTAAAAAAGGGGGTGCGACTTACAATCGAGCGTGACTTACTACTGAAGTCAATTATATCAAATCGATATATTGCTCAAACCTGAAAATGGGGGGGGGGGGGGTGCGACTTACAATCGAGTGCAACTTATAAACGGGGAAATACGGTACACGGAACTGAAATGTCAGGAGGGCTACCACTACATTGCACATTAAAACAAACAACGCACCTCTGGCTTGAGATTGGCTTTCCTGCAGAGCGGACACGCCGGATGTCCTTGCATCACAGTCAGCGGAACGGAGCGAGTGCGATGTGAACAAGCAGCATCAGCACACATCAGCCAGCCCTGACCACACAAACACAACAATAGAAGCAGCCGCAGCAGAGGCGGCAGCAGCAGCGACACACACAGAAACAAACGATGCATGACGTATATCGTACAAGTACACACAGCCCAGCAAACAATAAAGAAACCTCACACTGATGAATGGGACCGGAACGACAGGTGTACTGGCAGTCAAACAGGAAAATATATCCGCTAAGAAGATCCAGAATTTTTTTTAAAGAGGAGGCTTGAGCCACATCCGGCACAGCACTTCACTTGACCAATATGGCCTGGTAGGGTAGCAGCATGACAAGCATGCATGTAGTGTTCTTACTAATCACTATACATGCACATGCACAGCCACAAAGAAATCACCACAAACAAACAAACACAACTACATCCTGTGTCCACGCACAGCGCACAACCAGTGGCGATGACAACGTGTGTTCGCAGACGCAAGCCCGTCAAAACATCATATGCCACGCTACGACGTACCTCATAGTACGTCTGGATGAACGACTGCATTTCGGTGAGAAGGCGATTGCCGAGGTACGGCAATTTCAGGTTCTCACTACACTGAGCACACTTGGGAATGGCCATCTTTGCCAAATCAGACTGCATACAAACACAACAAGAAAACCAAGAGAGCATTACACACATCCCAACTAGTAAGACAACGGGAGTACAGGAATCCAGCACAAAAGAGTAAAGTATCATCTCTGGATGAAAGAAGAATGATGTACAAGAACAAGGCATTTTTGGCCCATTTGCTCTCCACAAGAGAGATAGAGATAAAGAGAGATAAAGAGAGATAAAGAGAGATAAAGAGAGAGAGAGAGAGAGAGAGAGAGAGAGAGAGAGAGAGAGAGAGAGAGAGAGAGAGAGAGAGAGAGGGAGAGAGGGAAGCACATGTATCACTAAGTCTTTACGGAGGAGACCAAGTCGAAAAAAGATATACTAGTATTTTTTCATGAATGAGATAAACAGGCAGATGAATGGAAAACACACGAAGTCAGTCAAGTGCAATGACAGTCTGATACAAGCAGTGAAATAGACAGTCCGTACCTGCAGGAGACCCTCCACTTTGCACGGCACTGAACATGACGGGCACGGCACTTCCAGCTGTTGTGCATCCTGCAGTCACAATGAAAAAAAATCCTTGAAAACAAGAACAGTTTCCCCAATGGCAGGTAGTGCATGATGAACAGCGTATCGCATAATCATCATAGACACCTAGTACATGAAGACGGTGTTCCTAGAGAATAGAGCTCTTCTATGGCATGCCTCTGCAATCTCCCCAAGCTGTGCTAGCTCATCTCTACAGCACGAGGTCCTACTGTGTTCATTTTCGTGAATAATTCCCCCCGGTGCCCCACTGACCTTGAAGAGGATTTCAGAATCTGTCGTGAAGCCCAGGGCAAGGTCATTCTCGTCCTCCTCGACAGCAGCTGCAGCCTTGCGATATGCACTCCTGTCCAGGCCTAGTGATGCACAAGCAAGCAATGAACAAATACATGGATACAGTACTGTTAGTCACCGGAAAACTGGGGTGGGGGGGGGTCAGCCTCATAGCCTAGACCGTTCGTATTGTCATGTACTAAAGTCTATGCACAGTTGAGTCACCGTGTATGCATTGGTATGCAGTGCTTGGTGAAATCCTAGCCCTGTTCGTTCTTCGGTGCCCAACAGTATTGTAGGCAGTATAGCCATGGTGCTATGTCCAAGAACTACCCAGATCACGACTTTGGCACAGCTGATCACACAGGTATCAACAGTTATTTGATTTCATCCTAACAGTGAATGCAATGCAGAGAAATCACTCATGTGGGTCTCAAAAGAAAAGCAGGAGAGGATCGGAAAGAGCCTCAGTACAAGTCTCAACTGGGGTTGAAGGGTTCAGCAGCTACCATCACACCGCCCGTGACCTCACAAATACGGCAGAAATATGTGTACCGTAGTGTAATGCTGTCAAACCGTCCCCCACACATACACACACAGGCGCGTACGCAGGGGGGGGTTTCCCGTTGCCCGGAAACCCCCCAAATGTTCCAAACGAGCAACGTTTTGGGGCATTTTTGGTAGGGCCCACGATCGATCTGGCAAGAATGCAAAGCTTCAACAGATCGCAACTCAGTCAAATCTCGCTCAAATCCAACGATCCAAATATCCAGGTCGAATAGAAAACTCTCGCTGTCCGTTGAAACAATTTTCGACGCGCTGCGAGCAATGTCTCTTGAGATAAATCATTCGTAAGTAAGTTGAGCCGCGATTTTCCATTTTGAAAAGTGCGCAGTCCGACTGGAGTATCCAGAATTTGGGACTTTTCGTTGCGCTGACTTGCTCAATTTTGCAGGGGCTTCACTTGTGATATTTTCAAGAGAACACAGCCAAAAAAATCGAAACTCTGCGATCAAGAAAAACGAAATCGCTGGAGCAGGACGCGTTGGGGCTTTTGGCCAGGACACAGTACAGTCATGTACATATCCAGCGCTATAGCGGTAGAGTGCAGCGACGGTGCGAAAAAATGCCCCAAAGTTTGGGGCATTTTTTCGCACCGTCGCTTGCACTCTACCGCTATAAATAGCCATAGCGCTGGATATGTACATGACTGTACTGTGTCCTGGAGTATCATGGTCGACCTCATTCTCTCCCTGGTACCTTTCCACTTCCAGGAAGCCCAAGATAATGAAGATTGAGTGAGTAGAACTGAAGTTATGATCCAAAGAACACGAAAAAATGCATAATTCTGAAAAATTCGTAGGGCTCTTTAGAAAGGGTAAGAACGAGCAATTGTTTGCGATTCGGTTGGAAACCCCCCTAGAGGTGACCCTGCGTACGCGCCTGACACATACATACGTATTATCAAGAGTAGATAAACAAGAGTGTGCAACTCTGGGATGGGTTGGCCCGCAGCAGAATTTTTTGTTGATGTAATCTTTTCTACGACGCACGTGCTGCAAGTCTTTTGGAAAGTTGTGCCTCGTGCACTTGGCCGGGCTTTACATTACAAGGTTGGTGCCCAGCACGTGCTCTCACACTGCTGTGACAAAATGCACTTTTTTTCTGAAAAAAGGTGACGTCAACAAAAAAATCCGCCGCGGGCGGGGGTATCTGCAGATTGTGCAGAAGAGATCCGGACTTGCACACTCTTGTTTATCTGCTCTTGGTATTTTGCATGCATAATCACAGTTCTGTACACAGACAGCCTTACCCAGATACTCAGCCACCATAGCAGCATCCAGGGAGTCGACGGGCTCGCAGAGACGACTGACGACGGGGTGAACTTGATCCTTCAAATAGTACTTGTAGTCTACACACACATGCACACAGTGATAACACACGTCATAATCTTGAATTGGGAGATGATAACAATACACAAATGCGTGCTTGTATTGTGGGTCACCAGGAGGAGGGAAAGCATCATCTTCTTGATGGAAGCTGGGAACCCGGAAATTCAATCAGCCTCAGAACAAAGACAATGACCTACCAATTGTCAGATCGCTGTTCTTGCGCAGTTCATCCGGGTGATACGCACGCTGCATTGCCGAGTTAGATGAGCCATCCTGATAGACACAGCACACAGCACGGCAAACATCACGTCAAAGCAGGGCAGCTGTCACTGCCTGCGTATAGGTATGATAGATGCCACACACTACAAGAACATGGATCAGGGTATTGATAGAAGGCCCCACTCAGCTCGGGTGAGCATGCAGATGGAGTGAGTGCAACCAACACCACAGGGATGTGTAAGCCAGGTAGATTATTTCACACACAAAGGGAAAGAGTAGTATAACAACGACACAGCAACACAGCAACACACTAGACACGCTCAGCAACACACTAGACACGCTCAGCAAGCACTGCTGGCAGTAGCAGTGGCAGCAACACTCTTCTCACCTCGCAGATCACATACGGCACAGTATCACCAGCACCGAAGTGATGTGTCTTGGCCTTAGCTAATCGTAACGCCACCAGTACATGAGCTAGGCTCTTTGCGTCATTGTACTCAAACGCCTCCTTCTTCAGATTCTGCAGGAGAAAAGCACCCAAACCGCAACGACGATAATAACACAAAGCAGAAAATGAGACTACTAACCTAACCTTATACATGTACTGTATGTGCGAGAAGTTTTTCTCGTAGAAGCCGATTCGAGTGAGTGTTGGGCTTCTGTTCAAATCAGGCTTGCAGAGGTCTAGCCAGGATTTTATGCCAGCCGGCCAACGTTCTAGTTAAAATGCATCGTTCTGGGGGCTGCGCCCCCAGACCCCCCCCCATCAGTCAGTCAAGTATCCACACAGACCCCCCCCCCCCCCCCCGCACACACACCACTACAAATCTTGCATTAGAGAGGTTCTGCACAACGAAAGTTCGAACGAAGTTTCGCGACAGGCCTTGCGAAAGTGTGTACGAATTTTCGCACGAACTTTGTGTTCTGCACATTTTCGTAGTTTGCACGCGCCAAGTGCACGTACGACATGACCCAATCTCACGAAACTTCCTACGAAAGTTCATTTCGCGTTCCCTGCAAGTTTCGCGTCCAAAGTTGCGAAAGTTCGTGCGAAGTTTCTCACTTCGTGACGTAGAGCGAAAGTTCGTACACATTTTCGTTTTGCAGAACCTCTCTATTTGCATCTCCTTTCGCTTCGTCCAATTATGGGCATTCATCAGGCAGTTGTGACAATGTGATTATAGGTATAGTACAAAATATGAAAAAGGAAGCAAACAGCTACATGAGCATGGATCATGTGTTCACCAACGTCATGTCTGCATGCAGTGTACATTGGTCATCTGACAAGACTCAAACCAGGCACTGTGTAGGCCAACACGAAAACCAGGCTGATGTGCAAAAGGTTCATCTTGAAAATAAGGCTGGCATTCAAAGCAGGGTTCTATATGACTTGCTATCATACAGGGCCGTGCAGTATTTTGCTCCAATGTCACGGTCCCAGGGTACAGCCATGCAGAGAAACTATTGCTACCCACAGAAACCCCATCGATATGACAGGAAGTGATAACTGAAGTGCACGGAAGCACAAACCTCTCCTAATGGAACGACCCCCGGTGCGCACAGTCCTGCCAAAAAGGCCTTCACATCAGCACTTAACCCTTTGTGGACGGACTGTACGAGTTTCGATCTAATAAGATCGAAAGTCTGCAGGCGGTAAAATCTTCGTAACTCCATCGTTTCTTGAGCAAATTCCACAATCGAAGGGTCTACGTGGTAGCGGAAACTCCAAGCTGTCCAATGCAACAATCGCCGAAGAGTTACGATGTCGGACGCCAGAGATATCGCACGCCGTATTCTTACCTCGGCAAATTCAAATTTTTGATCGATCATTTCGCCATTTTGGGGGAAAACCCCTTTTCGTGTGCTCTTTGAGCGACTGAGCACATGATAATGACGTAGCCGGCTGAAGTTTGAATCGTCTCAAACAGATTTGAGCGTTCTGCGATGAAGGAGAGTGGAATGGCGTTGATGGGACGAATTTGCTTGCATATCAGGCTTGGAGACGACTTTGCTGTGTTACCGCGCCTGATTTGTGGCGGCTGGATAATGGAGATTGGTACCCTGGCGTTGCTCTCGTCAAGAGCTTTCCAATGAGCCCTTGACTGTGAAAATCAAGTGAAGGACACCAAAGTTATAACATGGTAAAGTTGAAAATTGTACTGACATTTTGTAATTCTGGTGCGTACTGTGCTAGTAATCCGTCCATAAAGGGTTAAGAACTGGACTTGATAAGAAAGACGGAACATGCACCGTACCTTCGTGATGACAAACTGATCCAGAGGGTAAGTCTTGATGTTCTCCCGTACTGTGATATGGTATACACACGTACACACACAGACACACGCAGACACACACGCACGCGCATGCTCACACAGACACACACACAGACACACACATGCACACATACGCACGCACATACACACACACACAGAATCAGTGATGGAGTGGACACAGTGATGGCCAGCACCTGGCTGATGTGCAGTTTTCCAACAGCACACTACAGTCTGTATCGGCTATAGAGTGACCGGATATAAGAATATATCGGCTACAGTGATATTGGTACGAAATATCAAAAGCAAAACGTATTTTATCCAGTACAAATATCACTATAACCAATATTATCGGATGTCATGATATATCGGATATTATGATGGCAACAAAGAATCAAAATATGCATAACACTATATTATTATCGGCTATAGTGATAACTTTAAAATACATGTTGCAATAATATCAAAGGCCCTATTTTTTTTACTTTCTTCACGGTGCTTATTTTGATAGTGACACATGTACATGTACATAACAGAATTTTTTTATGGAAATGCGGGCACTGTCAACTATGCAGCATGCTCATTTGTCAAAACGCCATGCTGGAAGTATTTCCTTGCCTTTCATGTGTCGATCGAAAAAAATCGATCGTATCGCATATAGTGATGCATCGGTTATAGTGATAAAATCACGGAAATCAAAAGGGTACGCTATAGCCGATACAGACTGTACTCCCAACAGCCCACACAAAGGGTTGGTTAGCCCAACGTTGGCGACACACAGGTGTGGAGCCACCATGCCAATATCAGGGCCTTCAGGCTACTGTAAAAGCAATTATTCTAACGAGGCGATTTCCCAAAATTGACTAGTTTACGTGTACCAAAGGTAACGATTCTCACTGATTCTCAACGCTCAATAGGACAGTATGTGTATCGATTTCTGTATAACGATTTCTATTTTAACGACAGATTTCTCCTCGTTAACTCGTTAGAGTTAGCACTTCGTTATATATATCATATGGCTTTTACAGTAGGTCAGGTTTGTTGGTCATGTGACCTGTTTTCAATGCAGGCTGTATTTGAGAAACATCCGAAACACGAGACACATGTATAACAGTATTACAGGTGCCTCACTGAGCACAGCTACACCACTCACAGTTTGCAAGGTATGTCGGTACTTCCTCCAGCAAGTTTTCAAGCGCAACCGAGAAGATCTTTTCCATGACATCACTGAGCACAGACACGTGAAGATGGGAACAAAAAACAACCATTGATACATGGGAGAGAGAGAGAGGGAGAGAGAGAGAGAGAGAGAGAGAGAGAGAGAGAGAGGGAGAGAGAGAGGGAGAGAGAGAGAGAGACGGAGAGGGAGAGAGAGACGGAGAGGGAGAGAGAGAGAGAGAGAGAGACGGAGAGGGAGAGAGACGGAGAGTGAGAGAGAGAGAGAGATCAGCTGAGCTGCTGCAGCGTTGCAGCTCACAAACATTCTCCCAACAACAAAGCAGACATGCAAAGTTGGGATGCACACAGATATCCAGCAACTCAAAGCTGGCATCCGGCTAAAAGCCACGCCATCATCACCACAGCACCCTGGCAAGCATCACTATACCCATAACACAGGGCAGCTGGATACAAGGCAGTTGTCTGTTGTTGAGTCAATGGCTACTCACACTCCGGCTTTCTTGGCCAGGTTACACCAGTCGCGACGTACTGTCTCCAGACCCTTCTCTTCCCGATGCTCACTGAACGTCCCTACATACACACAAACATGAACAAAACAACATAAGACAGTTCAGCTGCCTGAAGATTGCCAAAGGCATGTAACACCAAGTAGCAACTACTATGAAACGTCAGTAGACCGTACCTGCACAGGACATACAAATCTGTACGTTGTAGCCAACCTACTGTATATCCACCGTCGAATGACTGGAAAGGGATACGCTGGGTACTCAAACAACTACTCTAAAAAATAAATGAAAATGCACGGGTCCGCGTACAGGGCGGGTCAAGAACACCCTTTCCGCTTCCGTGGGACGCCGCCGCACATGATCAGGCGACAGATGCGGTTCCCAAACGGTGAAGGAGGATAGGTCATATCCACCAACCAGAGGCCAAACGCCTGAGACAGGTTTAACTGTTCGTTGATACAGCCAGCACAACTGCTGGCAGAGGAACTCACCATCGGGCTTCTGCTGGATTGTGACGGCTGCATACCTGGATGAAGTAAGCACAGACAGACACAATATAATGTAGTGAGAAACACGTCATGACACACACATACACACGCGCGCGCGCGCGCGTACACATGCGCGCACACGCACACCACCACCACTACCAACAAGGAACGACAAATGTGCATGGGAAAACGAGTCAAGTGTCAAAACCACCCAAGTAGAATAGCTGTACACTGCCATACATAGCCAGCCTGAGCCATACAGAGATATATACTGCCATACATAGCCATCCTGAGCCATACAGAGGCATACACTGCCATACATAGCCAGCCTGAGCCATACAGAGGCATACACTGCCATACAGAGCCAGCCTGAGCCATACAGAGCTATACACTGCCATACATAGCCAGTCTCTGTCAGATTTTTCCCACAGACCAATTACTTGACTCACTTCTTCTTATTGAGCAGTAGCATAGACTTGAAGATACCATCAATATCAATCTGTAGACACGTGTACAGCTTGTTAACTTCAGCCTTGACCTAAGCAAGCAAGTGAACATAAAAACACGGATGCACACGCACACACACACACACACACACGTACATACACGTACATACACGTACATACACGTACATACACGTACACACACACACACACACACACACACACACACACATGTAAGTTCCTTCCTTGACAGTTGCACTCAAGTAGCCAATGTCTTGACATTTGTTGGCAGGCTGAATGTTCATGTCCGAGAGCACTGTCATCAGTGTGATGTCAAGAAAACACACCTATACCCTGAGCCTGGATAACACAGCTTCAGAGATAGACTACAAACACAGCTTCAGAGAGAGACTACAAACACAGCTTCAGAGATAGACTGCAAAGACAGCTTCAGAGATAGACTACAAACACAGCTTCAGGGATAAGTTCAGGGATAGACTAAAGTTCAGGGAATGGAATGTGCGACCCACCTTATTGCCCAGCTTGTGGACATCTTCAAAGTTGCGTGAGTTGGTGTTGATCATGATGGAATCCGTATCACCGTACACCACTTCCAGACCCATCTACGCACGTGCAAACACACACAACGAACACAACACAATTGTTAGCCCAATGTGACAGCCAACATTGCCATCAGTAGCAGGCCGAACAATCGAAAAATGCCTCGACTACTGACGAACGCACACAAACAGACACACACGCGCACACAGCTATGCGCTACATACAATCAAACAAACCTACCTGCTCAACCAACTCCTTCGTTCGAGCAAGTGTCTGCAAATACAAACAGATAAGCATCAGAATATTAAAAAAGGATGCTGAAATACTGATTGAAATGAGCCAACATGAATCTCGATCTAAAGTTGCCATTACAGTACTGTTGGTCACCGAAGAACTGGAGGTCAGCCTCCTAGCCTAGTCCATTCTTATTTTCATGTATCACTGTCTATGGGCAGTTGAGTCACCGTGTATACATTGGTATGCTGTGCTTGATGAAATTCTAGCCTGGCCGTTCTTCGGCGCTCGACAGTACTGTACATGCAAATACATGTACAAGCAGCCCTGGCAACATTCTGCACTGGTGAAAGAGGCAGAAATTACGAGAAAACACTTGCAACAGCATGTAGCACCAGACGCTTTAGGAGCTACACCCGCACTTTGATCCTTGAGGGTGGTGGCGTTGCTGAGGATGCGAGAACTCGGTCTAACTGAGACTACCGCGAACCGTGATATTTTCACCACCAGAAGTGGAAAATGTACACTAGCAGACAGAGCACTGTCAAGGAATACAATGACAGAATGGACACACCTCACGACCCTTGAACGTAACCAGTGCTGCAAGGTGCTTGGCGCGAAACCGGGACTGAGCGAATCCAAGACATCCGTACATACTGCATGCAGCAAGCAAGAAAACAAACAAATATGCACACACACACACACACACACACACACACACACACACACACACACATCATCATCATCATCATCATCATCACCACCGCACTATGCATAGAGTGTATCCACTCAAACCAGCCATGGCAAACACACTGACACAGAACACAATGCAATGCTTCCTGCCAAATAACACAAACTCTGGCAGCGGAAATCCGTGAATGGTAATGTTGATATGCTGTTTCCACATCAATAAGAGCACTGAAGTCTGTGTTACAAGCGTGGATACAGGATAGGGCGGAGTGCTCTCCACAAGTGCTTAACGGAATCGGATACAGATGCGCACCAAAATATATTCACCTGTTTGCAGTGAGCTTCAGGGCTTTTTGCCGCACATCTAGTTGTGCGTACAGATCTGAACCAGCAGCCGCTCGCTTCATCTCATTCTTGACCTAGATCAGTACAAATACACACACACACACACACACACACACACACATGCACACACACATGCACACACACATGCACACACACATGCACACACACATGCACACACACATGCACACATACATGCACACACACACGCACACAGCCACCAACATCAGTCGTACAATAAGTATCTCCCAAGAACACTCCGTACATTTAGCAACAGTTCACTCACAAGTCTGCAGTCTGTATGTGTACATATGCCGACTACTCATCCAAAATACTCCAAAGAAACTGAGCAAAGTGAGCAGCAGTTGAGGTGCTCAGAATGCCTAGTGAGTGGCAGTTGAGGTGCTCAGAAAGCCTAGTCAGTACATCTCACCTCACGGCGACGGTCAACCAAAATAGCAATTTGCGCTGGCAGCACGCCCTGGTCCAAGTCGCTCGCTGGCAGACAGGGAATGTCATCTTCGCCTTCCTGTGAACACGATGCAACACAACACGACACGACACACAGACAGACGCGGCTGAGCACACCGCAATGCGGCACCAACAAAACGATGCATTATGCAACAGCACACGTAGCCCAGCAGCCTGTGCGTTCAGTAGAATGAGAATCCAAATGAGACCTGTACACAACTCCAGAAGTGCATGCACCATAATGTCCATAGTAAAACTTCAGTATCACCCACCCGAGGACTTACGGGTAACATACGATTGCCTATTACAGGTGTAGCAACAGCTGCTGAGATATTATGGCCTACTATGAGTACGTAGTCTTCTTAGAGGCCCTGGCAATGCTATGTTCTAATACTGAAGCTGGCATGTGATGTGCCTACGCAGCAATGCATGGATACCATCACACACAGCTGCCCTGTTAACGACAGCCAGGACAGCACGGCTTCAGATACAACAGATAGATACAACCGATACGCAGGCAAACTCATCCACCGGTGTCGTGGACTGGGAAGAGCTACAGTAATGATGATCCCACTTCACACTAGGACTTACAGCACTCGTGTCAAACTTGGTCTCAACCGTTGTGAAGCAGATGTTGTACTCGCGAATCAGAGACGGATACAAGCTGTTAAAATCCAGCAGCAGGATGAATTTGTCATAGAAACCTTCACAATACAACACACGACACACACAGACAGATGCAGCTCAGCACACCGCAATGCGGCACGAACAATACGATGCATTACGCAACAGTACACGTAGCCCAGTGGCCTGGGTGTTCAGCTGAATGAGGATCCAAGTGCACAGATACACAGCAAACACAAAAAAAAAGTAAACATCAAACTAGCGAGGTGAAGGTACCAGGAGGAAAAAAGAAGACCTAAACGGACAAGAATAAATCGAACAAAGACAAGCCAAATTAGTGCGGCCTAACACCATGGTCCAACGCATGGTTACACAGCCGGTGGCAAAAAATCCCGACAAAACACTATGGTGGCTGCTACACGCAGTCCAGCACTCTTATTGAGCACATTTCATATTGAACGCGGCGTCGGTATCAACCCTGAGTAATTTGTCAAGATTTTTCTGCCGCTGACTGCACTGCGAAACAAGGCCGCAGGCAAGAGTCAAACTAGCTCCACGCGGCACCACACACCTCTCTTGGGATCCAAGACGAGACCTCCGCTGTACTGCGGCTTCCGTCGGCCTTTCTTGTTACCAGCGGATGCTGCCGCGTCTGCCGCCACAGCTTCGTCATCATCCATACCCTGGGTAGAAACAAGACAATCATGAAGAGAGAGAGAGAGAGAGAGAGAGAGAGAGAGAGAGAGAGAGAGAGAGAGAGAGAGAGAGAGAGAGAGAGAGGAGGAAGGGAGGGAGAGAGAGAAAGAGAGAGAGAGAGAGAGAGAGAGAGAGAGGGAGGAAGGGAGGGAGAGAGAGAAAGAGAGAGAGAGAGAGAGAGAGAGAGAGAGAGAGAGAGAGAGAGAGAGAGAGAGAGAGAGAGAGAGGCACCACATTATCATCAGTGCATGTTCACATCATTTCCTCATACAGCATGCCTTCTTTTACATGTACGTATATTCTTCATCTTTTATTGAGAGTCTAGCCACAATACGGTTAGACGAGAAATCAGAAATGCCTGTTTATCTGGTGAAGTAAATAAAAACAAACAAACAAACCACTGGCCTAGATACTCAGCCAAGTAGGACAGATGTGAATAGCCGCCAGCCACATTACATGAATGAAAGGGGGAATCCGAAAGGCAAAATAGATTCTGAATAGAGAATAGTTGAGAACGCGGCCAACCTACCAGTGTCGCGTCCATTGCTGGCTGACGGCCTTTGGAGTACGGTGCCTTGTCCGGGCAAATGTAGTCTCTGCAACAAAGACGGACAGACAGACAGCCACAGGGAAAGAAAAGAATTGTTCTGTAGATCAATCCTCTCAGGATCAGGACCACCACAACTAAGGATAGTGGCATTGAGTACATGTACAAGTTTGCCCATGGATAACCACAATGGACCTCATCGCAATATAATGAATTTTGCCCGACAATAACAGATAATCGTTTCGTAAGAGCTCTTGCACTCCACTGCAGTGTATTCCTTGCAATTGAAGACACCTCCATTATCTGTCCCATGCTCAGGCTCCCAGCTGCACCACATAAATGAAGAAAAACCTGCCAATATTTGCCCATTGGCATCATCAGAGCTTTATTTGCTGCAACTGACAGCCTGCTGGTGGAACGGGGAATGGAGGCGTTTTCAACACCAACAGATAATGTTACGCCCAGCAGGAAATGAGCCGGGAAAGTGAAACAGTTCCCCAAAGCACAGGCAACTGAGCACAACACACTACAAGTACACCAGGACTGTGGCATACAAACATGATAATCCCAGAATGCAACCAGAGTAATTCCCTTGGAGACAAGAATGCAATGATACTTAGAAGTAGGACACACTTCAGGCTGTTGAACATTTTGAAAGTTTTCACTAGTATACTTTCATGTCTTATCATCAGGTGAAATATAGGCAAAATCAAATGAACATGGACAATCATGAATGGATTACAGCTTAGACTAAAAGAGTACACAGGGAAATACAACATACCGCTCCGTGAAAGCGTGCAGCAGCAGGAACTCGTTCCTCTCCGAGCGGCCACCTTGCAGAGTCCGCGACTAAAGTAAAAACACACGTGGATGCAATATCGAGACGTTCATACGAGCAACCTGTTCTCATTCAAAAGACCCATAATTCCATGCACTGCACTCCACGTACACATGGACTACAATACAGATTAGCTGTTGGGACATAGGAAGGATCACATAATGAACAAAAGGGTGATGTTGGTCCGGTGTCACCAAATTAGATGAGCGAACAGAGACACTGTGCTGCACAGTAAGCTAGCTACAGAAGAACGCATGCCGAAGAGAGCCCCCTGAGTCTCCACTAAAACACTACTTTTCATAAGTTTGAGAGGGTTGAAACGGGAAAGGTTTGAAGAAAAAACTGACACATATACACACACACACACACACACACACACACACACACACACACACACACACACACAGCTTACTAAGACATTTCCAGCCAAGCGAGTGATTTGCAGTGACAATGGGAGAACCTGTAGAAACACACATGAACACACACACATGAACACACATGAACACACATGGAAGCACGCACGGAAGCACATGGGAACACACATTTCAGTACTCAAGTGCTGACAAGGAAAGGAGGGAAGTTCGCCAGATTCACTCCTGCACAACTACCCGTGGCAAAACAGATGTGTGTATTCCGTGTTTGCTCTCTTCCCATCATATTCCACCCATTACCATATTTGATTAGGCATGGAATGGACTGTTGCTAGGGCCATTGCTAAGGACACCATTGTTGTTATTATCGGCAGTCTTATTTTCGGTCCCATCACAGCCAGGGTCCTCCTTGACCCAAGGTTTGGCCACAGTTGGATGAAGTTTTTTTGTCGCTATGGGGTTGCTAGAGAGTATTGGAGTTGCACTTTGTACCTTCCTGATGATCCAAATGATCTAATTTGTGTGTGTGTGTGTGTGTGTGTGTGTGTGTGTGTGTGTGTGTGTGTGTGTGTGTGTGTGTGTGTGTGTGTGTTGAAGCGAGCGGTGAAATCCACGACGTAGACTCCTTGGTGAATTTTTGTTGTCACCACTCTACGTTTGTGTCGCCGTTCGTTGTGCGCTGTGGGTTGGCTACCCCTCGCACTTTGCTCTAGCTTTAGCCCTTTGTCCAATGACTAGAAGAGATTCGAGAAGAAGAGAGAGTAGACAGAGAAGGCAGATAAAGTTTGGTAGTTGGAATGTCCGAACATTACTGAATGTTGATGGACCTGTTGAAACTGCCGCCGTGTCGCGTCGTGTCAAGGAAGATCGGAAAGTGGATCTTGTCGTGCGTCAACTCAAGGAACACGATGTCGAAGTCGGTGGTTTGCAAGAGACCAAATGGTTTGGATCAGCGGAGTATTCGGTGGACAATGCTGTTGTTCTTTCCTCGGGGCGTCCATCCCCAGGAGCGTCTTCTTCAAATTCAAATTTTGAAAATATTCAAAATTCTCAGCGTGGTGCTCAGCGTGGAGAAGGAGTCGCTGTTGTCCTTCGAGGGCGAGGTGCTGATGCATGGGATGCAGGAGGTCGACAGTGGACGGCTAAGTCGTCGCGTTTAGTGTCAGCTCGTCTTCGTTTCGTACATAGTCCAACTAAATGTTCGTGGATGACAGTCATAGTGTGTTATGCACCGACGTTCCGTTCTGCTCGTTCAGTGAAGAGTGAATTTTTCAATGATTTGGAGGATTTGCTCTGCACTGTACACCCTACTGATGATCTAGTACTCCTTGGTGACTTCAATGCTCGGGTAGGATCAGCTCTATGCCCTGCACCTGATGATCCCTGGTCAGCTGTTCGTGGTCCGCATGGCTCTGGACAACTAAACGAGGCTGGTAGAGAACTGTTGTCATTTCTTGCTATGCATAACCTGGTCATCACCAACTCATGGTTCAGAAAGCGCGACATTCACCAGCAAACTTGGCAACACCCCCGTACAAAAACATGGCATTGTATTGACTATGTAATTGTGCGACGACGTCAGCTTTCAAACTGCAGAGATTGTCATGTCATCCGCAGCGCTGAGTGTTCAACTGACCATCGATTGGTTTGTCTAGCGTACATGCTAAGTCTCGGTGTGTCCAGGCGCCGTAGACCCGCTAACAAGAAGACTGCTGGTCGGTATAATGTTAGCGCGATGACCAAGGTGCCGGGTGCTGATGCCACTGATCATGAAGTTGCTGATTGTTTGCGTGCAGAATACGCTGCTAATGTTGCCACTGGTCTTGGCGGATGGACAGACTGCAGTGCTGTGGAGGACCAGTGGGTGAAGTTGAAGTGTGCCGTCACTGAAGCTGCCGATGCTACTCTTGGCCGGCAAGGTCGTCGACAGCCAGACTGGTTTGCTGCAAATGCAGGGCATCTTGATACTCTACTCACACGCCGGAACAAGTTATACAGCAAGTGGTTGCAGTCAAAGACTCACGTCGATCTGTGTGCGTTCAAAATGGCCCGCGGTCATGCTCGGGCTGCAGTGCGTGCCGCGAAGCGAAAGTGGCTGCAGTCACAGGCAGACCTGGCTCAGCATGGGCGTTTCAGTGGGCAGAAAGTTTGGTCAGCAATCTCAGCCATGAAGAAGTGCTACGACGGTCTGCAGCCTGTTCCATGTCGCAGCATGCGGAAGAGTGATGGGAGTGTGTGCAGCTCTCTTGATGAGGAACGCGATTGCTGGCAACACCATTTTCAATGTTTGCTGAACGTGCCAAGTTCATTCAACCCTGCAATATTTGACTCAATCACGCAGCGTGACATCGATCGCTCATTGTGGCAACCGTCACCAACATCGGCGGAACTTGTTGTGGCATTGCGGCACATGGCTAACGGCAAAGCGGCTGGAGGTTCCGGAATTGTTGCTGAGTTGCTTAAAGCTGCGTTCGGCACCATATGCCCCTATCTCATCGACCTGTTGAACTCAATCTGGACTAGTGGCACTGTACCGGCTGAGTGGCGTAACGCAGTCCTTGTACCAATTCCGAAGAAGGGAGACCTTTCCAGGTTTGATAACTGGAGGGGAATATCGCTGCTTGATGTTGTAGGGAAACTGGTGGGCCGTGTCCTGCAATCCCGTCTTCAGAGGCTTGCTGAGAAGGTGCTGCCGGAATCGCAGTGCGGTTTTCGCCGTGGACGATCCTGCACGGATGGAACTTTTTGTATACGCCAACTAGTAGAGAAGTTTTATGAGCATCGTCAGAAGGGCTACCTCGTTTTCGTGGATTTACGAAAAGCGTATGATTCCGTGCCGCGCCCTGCTCTCGCTGCATGCCTCCTCAAGCTGGGCGTACCTGAGGAACTCACAGAGCTAATCCTGCAGTTCCATTGCGGCATGGAAGCAGAGGTGCGTGTTGGTGCTGAAGTCAGTGGCTCGTTTCCTGTTGAAAATGGTTTGCGCCAGGGATGCACCATGGCTCCGGTTTTGTTCAATCTCTTCTTTGGTGTTGTTATGATGTGCTGGAGAGATGCGATGCGTCAGGCCAGCACTGATTCTGGTATATCACTGTCCTACAACATCAATGGTCAGCTTTACTCACGTGCTAAGGGTACCCTTCAAGTGCAACTCCACGACTTTGAATTTGCAGATGATGCCGTTTTGTTGTCAATGAGTCGGGCTGAGGCTGAGCAGTCGCTTCAGACTTTTCATCGTGTTGCATCCTCGTTTGGTTTGTCCGTCAGTTCGTCGAAAACACAATTCATGGTAGTTGGTGTTGGTATTTCCCCGGAGGACAGGATGCCGATGGACATGGGTGGCGACAGCATTTCGTATGTTGAATCGTTTGTGTACTTGGGCTCCCTCATCACGCCAGACACCCGATCCTCACCTGACGTCCAGCGACGGATTGCCAATGCGGCAAAGGCGTTTGGCTGCCTCCTACCAGTGTTCCGGGATACCAGCTTGACGGTGGCAACAAAGCGTCATTTGTACACAGCCTGTGTTCTGTCGGTTTTACTCTACGGTGCTGAGTCATGGGCTCCGCTTCGGCACGACTTGGATCTGCTGGACAACTTTCACCACCGGTGCATTCGCTCCATCTTATGTGTATCTCGGCGTCAGCAATGGGAGGAGAAAATCTCATCGGCAACGCTCCGTGCGCGCTGGGGTGACACTACACCGGTGTCAGACCTTGTTCGGCGTCGGCGGTTGGAATGGCTCGGGCACGTCGCGCGCATGCCTGCAGACCGTGCTCCCGTCCAGATTTTGTTTGGAAGGTTGAGTGGTCGTCGCCCTCCTTGTGGTCCCCGGCGGCGCTGGAAAGACGTTGTCCAGAGAGACATGAGGGCAGCTGGCGTGGATTCCTGGTTTCAGAATGCCCAAGACCGGCAGAACTGGAGGATGTTCCTTGCTGAGCCACCACCGCACACAGATGATTCGCCACCTTTGCGCTGCTTGCTGTGTGCCAGAGACTTCCGCCGCCGTAACGACATGGCCCGACACAAGTGCATTGCCCAGCGGAAGTTGCCTGTGTCACAACAGAAGGGTGCCAGGCAATGTATGAAGTGCATGCGGTGGTTGAGGAGCGCTGGAGGACTGGCTGTGCATCGCTGTCCTGTGTCCACGGATGTCCCCACTGTATCCATTCGCCATGAATCTGACTCTTTGCGATGTGATGTTTGTCGCCGCTCTTTCCGCTCTCGTTCTGGTTTGAGCCGTCATCACTGTGACCGTGCGAAACGGATGTCACGTGCAGCCAGGAACAGCTGCCGTCATGAATGCGAGCATTGCGAAAGACGGTTCTCAAGGCCACAGGACTTGCAACGCCATGCCAAATATTGTTGACTTTGCGATTTCTCTCTCTTCTCTTCTCTCTTCTTGTCGTTGTCTCCCGCTTCTGGGAGCGGCGTGGCCCGATAGGGTAGCTGTACATAGTAGTAGTAGTAGTAGTAGTGTGTGTGTGTGTGTGTGTGTGTGTGTGTGTGTGCCAGCTAGTACGGTTGGTGGGTACACATATGCCAGATAGTGTTGGGTCTGTTGCCAACAGGCTCGGCTGCTTGAAGGTGTATTGTTGTACACTCAAACGCCCCTTATCCGGACGCCTCAGATACGGGCACGTCTCTCTACCGGGCACCTTCAGCTTGAGTTCCTATAGCACAAATGCTTCGAATTTGGTTTCTTTTACTTTTTCCCTATATGTGGAAGTGCTTATTTTTCACTGCGAGCCTATGTAAGTAGATGAGTTATTCTGAGATACGGGAAAATCTGAGATATGGGCAGTGCCCGGTCCCAAGGTGCCCGGATAAGAGACGTTTGAGTGTATCTGCCACCTTTGTTGGTTGCAGGGTTCATATACTTTCTATTTGAAGTATACATACCTGTTGACCATGGACTGTTTCTGGCTAGATTAACTCCTGTGTAATCACTGGTGCTAGTGAAGCTTATATCAGATCCACTCTGATTTAGCCACCCACACTAGCACCAAGTATTACCTTCACTGGGGGCAGGGGTAACTGCAGTTGGATCTCAGGACGGATACCCTGATGCCGTCAATCCCTTTTTTGCACCTTGTCCTCACCCACTTACTGAGGTGTGGTGAGCCCGTAAGTGGGATCATTTTCAAGTCCACCCATAGTTTGGGGATTTCAGGGGGCGTCAGCCGTTGGGCGGTTCAATAGCCAGTTGAGTCCTCTTTCCAAGATTTCTTTTGAGTTCCTCTTTCCCCTCTCCCGGGGAGACCCACGTGACCAATTTTGGCAGTGAGCCAAGTACAGTACAGTACAGTGTGTGTGTGTATGTGTGTGCACGCGTGCGTGTGTGTATGTGTGTGTGTATGTGTGTGTGCATGTGTGTGTGTGTGTGTTGATCAAGGCTAACACGCTATGTTTGAATGCTCATGACATTAGAAATACTACTTGTATTCCCATCAAACTTTCTGTTTATACTCTGCATACATAGATGCTTCAGAAAAACTTGTGAACTGGAGGAAAACTCTGACCAGAAAGAAAAGAAATTGCCGGAAACCTCTACTTGGGGTGACTCCTTGTTTCCGAAGTAAGACACACGGAAGACAAGCATCACTTACGTTGAGATTATACATGATGAACAGAGCGTAGGTGGCTTCACCCTGAAGTGTAAGAGAATGCAGCAAACACGCATATAGACTGATGATGCATCAACGAATGAGCAAGCTTGCACGCATGCAGATACATGTACGGTGCATCCTGGCATATCCGCGCGTCACTTATCTGCACTTCGGTTACCCGCAGCTCACTCATGGACACACGTGATCTGTTGAATTAAATGCAGCAAGGGTACCCCGACAACATTTGCTGCACTGAATGTCTGCAGAGGCATTTGGATTGGATTGGATTTTTATTTATAGTGGTGACTATAACAGACAATTGCCTAATAACAATAGACCCACTCGAGGGAAAGATGCAAAAAGATGTGACTAATTAATACGAGAGAGCTTGGAAGCTCAGGGCCCTACGCTATGCTTTGTTACTTAGCTCATCGTGCATGTTGTGGGAACTGATGGAAATGTTTCCTGGGAAGGCGCTAACTCTGCCGAGCACGCGCGTTCTGGAGTCGACGGGATCACTCTGCCGACGTTTCCTGTGACCGGCGCTGACTCGCCCGTTCACGCCTATTTTGGAGACGACGGGATCTCTCTTCCAAAGTATGTTTTTGCTGACGCATCCTATCACCTATTCGGCAACTAACATCCATTCTAATTTCATTTCCTCCTCGTCTCCCTATTTCTTTCCACAAAGTCTCTCTATACATCAGGGAGTCGTACTGTATTGGCAGCTACCCTAACGGGTCACGCCGCCCACCACCCAAGCATGGGTATGATGAGGGACAGTGGCAACAGAAACAGAAAAAAAACAGCAAGCAGGGAGAGAAAGCAAGACAAAGACGGCGATAGTAGTACATCTGGTGTGCGACGTATAGAAAAGAGAGATGACAAGAGATGCGCACAAAATAGGAAACAATAATTATTTTTGCAGTTCCGAAACAATAAACCAGGTGATGGAGTGTGGGCACCCGAAGTCCCACCTGGACTCCACTGGAAGAACATCCCACGCAGGGATATCAGCGATAGGCCAAGCGTTGAAAAACAGCCATGAGGACACATCGTCTAGAAGTCCACCGCGCTCGAACTGAAATTGCAGGTTCAAACAATTTCCCACGCGGCGTCAGGCAGCGTAACTCTTCTCCCTGCATCACCATCCATCTCCAGCAACCGTCTCCACTCACAGCTCATGCCTCTGCCACCACTGTACTCCTCCGAGCTTCGCAGTTTGAAACCATTCGGGGGTCAGCTACACCACCGCGAATGGAGAGACGAGGACGACAACGGTCGTGACTGAAAAGACACTGCCTTGGCGACCGCGTCGCGGAACCCTCGCCCCAGCAAATTCAGAAATACGCCAGGGGCAACTCTGGTGGACCCAGAGCCACCCCCTTGGCAAGACTAGTAAGAGGAACGACTGAAAACTCAGATAAAACGGAGCTACAAAAAGTGCAACCGTCCCCTTCAAGCACATATGCAACACACAGGGAGTCGTATACATGTACAGAATATTGTGGCCAGCTGTTTGTAGCCAGCTGTGTTTGATGGTACGGTACGGTACGGGACAGATACGGGAGCCAGCAAATGGCCAGCTGTGCGATACGGTACGGGACAGATACGGGATAGCGCCAGGTGTGACACAAACAAACAAACAAACACCAAATTAAAGCTGTGTGGACCCTGGCTAGCGCCAGACGTTACTGAAGTAACGTCTTCTGCATAGCTACGGGAATAATAGACTACCGGTAGGCATGCCGGCATGGTTGTGCCTGCATGGAGCTAAGTATGAATTTCCCATATCCACCTGCTTCACATATCCACGCTTCTTTCTGTGAAGCTCTGGCCAAAGGGAGAGGACGGATAGGCGATGGACTACTGTACTTCACAGCACAGGCATAGACACTTAGGGCAATTACAAACCACCACTTACAAGAGTTTGATCAATGAGCTTGTAGATACCGCGGGAATTCCTGCAGCAGAAAGCGACAAGGGAGAGCAAAAGAAGAATGGCTGGTACAACACCAAACAAATAACAACATCAACGCCAACATCAGTCCATACAGAGTATAATCTATACAACCACACATCTACGCACAGAAGTCACAAAGGAGGTCTACAGAGTGCGTCGCAACACAGAGTTTCCTGCACAATGCAATCATCAGACAAGCTTTGGTGTGTATTACAGTGCTCCACATTATTGTGCTGAGCCCTCTCCGCTGGCTAAAGGGAATTTTCCTCTTTGTACAAACACATCTATAGTCTGATTATCAGCCCAGTTTTCAGACACTCGTACTACTTCCAAAAGCAGCCAACAGTAGAGGTGCAGCAGAGATTCTGGTCACTTACACATAACAGAGAGGCACATCGGCCAGTGCCATGGGCTCGTAGGGCTTGCTCAGCACCACGTTGGACAGCGCTGAGCACAACAGAATAGCACAGCATACAAAGAGGGTTAAGTCCTCTCTAACACAGCATATACGTACACTTTCTCAGCTGTCGTCGTGTCTATACACAACTAAGGAGGAGGGGGGCTTATGCATGCGAATATTCATGCAAATCACTCTGCGAGAACTATGGAAATACGCCCAGTGAGAAGGCAGATTTTGCCTGAGCCTATGGTGAAGTAAAATAAAGCTAAACAAACACAAAACAAACAAACAACTGTCAGCCGAGTCAAGATAGAAACGGCCAGCGATGCTTCATTCTTATCAACATGACACTTGCATACTTGGCATAGAACTCCAAATATAGTCTACCATGCGTGCACACTAGCAGTGGGAGACCCTGTGACATATCACATAATACTCTCCAGCTGAACACCCCATCTAGCAAGCGACACAACACGGAGGCCAAAGTGCATTGCAAAACCCGTCAGCGGCACAGACCACATGGAGCAAGGAAGAGAGCGACAAGAACGAGGGCAACATCAACAACAAACAACACGCCAGGCTTACATGCCAGGTCGTAGCTGCGGCAGTGGATGAGCTCTGCGCAGGACGTCTTCACATCACACACCAACCGGCCGGCGGTGGCACTGCGACATGTGAACATGTTACTGCCTCCGCTCTGTCAGAACCGCACAACACCACGCAAGAACACGAGAAAAGCACACAGGACTCGCGGCGTGAAGACAGCAATGAGTGACGCCAAGAGTACATAAACCAGAGTGTGCAACTGTGCATATCAGATCTGAAACAGCGCAGTTCGTGCACTACGTCACCCTGATGAGGTCAGCCAAGCTGCGACTTGCGTACAGCTCAAATTTTCGTGTTCCACAGCTCGGAAATCACCCAAGTTTGCATGATTTTAGATGTCCTGTTTTGGGATTTCGGTGCTTTTGTGACTGCGTGCGCTGCGTACATCCGCTGGCAAGTAAATTCACCAGGCTATCCGTATCAAAAAACCGAAATCAGGACAAACTCAGTGACCTGCACCACCGTGACTGGTTACACAACTGCTCACCGCACCAGTGGCCTACCATGCCGTCAGAAATGACGTACTGCACGAATTACGCTCCCACAGGAACCATCCCGAGTTGAACACTCTGGTTTATGTACTCTTGGTGACGCCAACTACACACAGCTGACACACGGGTGGCCATCAAGCGACACAACGGTCCGCTTCACACACCGAAAAGGCCAAGCGCAAAGAGTGAAATATCTGGCCAAACCCTGCACGCACTGCACGAAGACACCGTACTCTGGTTGGTGAGAAACAAACGCAGATGGCAGGTAAACACCACACACATTTTATATATACATGCACACACACACACACACACACACGTGCGCGCGCGCGCGCACACACACACACAAACACACACACACATATACACACGCACACACGCACACGCACACCCACACCTACACAACACAATACACACGCACACACGCACACACGCACACACACACACACACACACACACACACACACACATCACCGGTATACCAACCTGTTTGCGCGGAATCTCCTTTCTTTGGAGTCGACTCAGCTTGGACCAGAAGCTGACCTGACAGAACAGAACAAAACAAAATTGGAGAGAAAACTGATGCACGACGGCTTCAAAATGACAAAACAACGTAACTAAAGTATTAAGGCATGCCTCGTTGGCAGTTGTAACATTTTCTATAGAGGTGTAATGCGATTGCATCATCAGTTGAGATGCATTGGCGAAGTCGCGGCACAGCGCTGCTCTTGCACTAACGACTCGCGCTGCATACACGGCGCCCAAACATGATTCTGCTGACTCGCACTGTATACTGAGCACCCATAAGCGGTTCCACTGACTCTGCACCATGAAATCATTCGCTTAACTTCTATAAAACATCTGCTGACTCGGACTTGTACAGACTGTGATAGGACACGGAATGACAAAACAAGTCACCAGTCAGAAGTGGCGCACACATACAAACATGTACATGAACACAGATGCTTTGTCGCAGCACTGCTGCACCATACATGTACGTGTACCTTGTGTGTCCGTAGCCGATGCAGGAGAATATCCAGGTCAAATGACGTGAAGTCGTGACCCTGCCAAATACGCAGGCAGAGCAAACACAGACAAAAGAAAAGAAAACAGGATTCATAGTACGAGCGCCAGGATGCGATAGGGGTGGAGCAAGGATATGCTCACAACAACAAGTCTTCACAGCCAACTTTCAAACACAACAAAATGCAACTAAAGACTCTGTGTGTAGTTGTGTGCATGGGAGAGAGAGAGAGAGAGAGAGAGAGAGAGAGAGAGAGAGAGAGAGAGAGAGAGAGAGAGAGAGAGAGAGAGAGAGAGAGAGAGAGAGACGGAGAGAGAAAGACGGAGAGAGAGAGAGACGGAGAGAGAGACACAGAGAGAGGGTGAAATGCCAATGCTCCCAAGAGCAGTAGTGGAAGGGTAAGATCCATCCTCAATCAGAGCTGAGACTTACAACGATAACATCTGGATCGATATTGGCTATCTTCGCCAAGAAGAAGTTGAGCAGTCCACGCTCTGATGACGTTTTCTCAACACGTCTGTCCACCTGCAGATCAGAAGCATTACAAGCGTAGTGGAAATACAGCAACAGACTCTACGACACGCCTCGTGTTGTGTGTTCAATTCATAATAATAATATGCATAACTAGAACTAAAATGTGGATAACTAGAAGTTCGGCTGCAATCGTCTGGAAAACACTGAGTAGGAATTCCGCCTGCAATGTACTCGTACGTTGCCCTCACCTTGTTCATGAACTCCTTCGGGTACTGTTGATCAGACGGCTTGGACACAACTGCACAAGACACACATACACATGGCACCACGGTGTTAGCAGCAAGAGAACAAAAGAGATCCAAAACAACAAGATTTAGTCATCTAACGTTATCGTTAGGGGTCAAAGGGGTGTTCCGGGTACCCGGGTACCCGTCCGTTAATCTCAGGTACCTTAGTAAAATGGTACCCGTATGGATTTTGATGATCCAGTCAGAACGGAACGACACTGCTGGGATCGCGCATTCCAGGCGGGAGTCAATTATTTACAACTCCACGCTGGATGTCTACATTGTTGTTGCATTAGTGAACCTAGTAGATCTGCCTCTGCAACTATCAGACACAAATAATTTTGCGAATCATAATGCGATATCAAAATTCAACCTGAGAAGAGATAAATTATTAATCATGATTTACGTAAAAATTGCGCAAAAATTAAACATTGCTGCTAAAGGGTATCCGTTAACCCGCCTCTCTTTAAGAAAACTACCCGTTCGTTAGTTAAAGGCACATCCGTTGACCCCTAGTTATCGTGCAAAACAATGTCAGGGTCATGTGCAAGCTGAATGCACACCAAGGAGGAAGTAGGCATCAGTTTCCCTTTCTTCCATTGCAAACAACAAGATCCCGTGAATGAAATGACACACAATCGACAACACAAGACCAGTATTGTCTCTTGCACAATCCAGGGGCGTAGTTTGTGTCTTACCACAAAAGAAATCATCTGTTGGAGTGTCATATGCAGGCTCATCAGATTTCTTTCCGCTAGCAGCGAAAGACGACATGTCGATATTGACCTTGTCCTTGGTTTTCACTGGCTTCGTCAGTGGTATGTTGTAGTGCATCCGACAGCAGATAGCCATGATCTACAACATACGAGAGAGAGAGAGAGAGAGAGAGAGAGAGAGAGAGAGAGAGAGAGAGAGAGAGAGAGAGAGAGAGAGAGAGAGAGAGAGAGAGAGAGAGAGAGAGAGAGAGAGAGAGAGAGAGAGAGAGAGAGAGAGAGAGAGAGAGAGAGAGAGAGAGAGAGAGAGAGAGAGAGAGATGTGCCTCACTCCATATCAAAGGCAGCAAGTGATGGCAATCGTTATCAGGTGTACAAACTACTGAAAACAAAGAGAGGAAAGCAGAGTAGAATCATAGAAGAAAAGACAGGCACCGTACCTCGTGACTTTTCGATTTCGGATTGATCATTGTTCTCATCCGCATGCTCATGACAACCTGCACAGATACGTAGAATGAACAGAACAAGTCAGTCATCTTGTGCCTAAAAGGGTACAATACAAAAATGGTGTTTCTATAAGAACTCCACCCGATAAGGTGCCCACACGGGCCATGGGAAATTACGCGAAACCCCAAGAAAAAGCTGCGTCACACAGTCCTAGAGATAGTTCTCTATGCGAGTCACTCTACAGAGAGCCTTAGATCTCCATAACAAAGACCAACAAGAAAGCAAAATAGACCAACCCAAAAGCTGCATACCGGTAGCCGAAACCAGGCACTAGAATTTCTCGTTTCTAATGAAGCCCGTGAATGATGGCTCACTCACCACGGGTGGTGGAGTACGTGCTAGATGGTCAGGCACAAGTAACACCTCGTCAGGTTTGTCAACCAATACCTGTAGCAAACAAGAAGTGAGAGGATCGGCGGTGACAGTCAATAGTGTCAACAGACGGTCTGGTCTCGTTTGATCTCCTCAAATTCAATTTGACAGAAAAGACGGAAAGATAACAGCACTAGCCCTTGGGCATCATCAAGCAGAAAGGGCAAGAAATACAACGGACCGCTTCTTCCACCCCGAAAACAACATGCATAGGAGACTCGAGATTATGTTCGCACAGGGAATTTTGGCACCAAGAAACATCAGAAAAACAAGGCGCTGTGAGTGGGGAGGGGGGTAAGATAATTTCAAGTTGACTTCTGAATTCTGTGACCGCTTACCTCCACTTTGCACCAGCTGGATGCGGCATGTGGCTTCTCTGAATGTACACATGACAGCAATAGACATGCCAGGCAAATAGTATAAAGACAGGCCCAGACAAACACACACACATGTGCAGTATGTCTTACTTATGAATGCACACGGACAAAGTCAATAGTGAATCTACAAAACACACAATTCAACTTTGCCTCTCAGCTTGGCCAGCTGTGCCGTGTGTATGTGCAAGCGCATGTGTATGGTGTGCGAGCGCCTCCACATGAAACTGTCCTGATGAGGGTGCTACTGACATGCCGTACCTCCGTCCGCACTGCTTCAGAAGCAAAGCACAGCTCAAATTAACCTGAACTAGCAGGGTGGCTTAGAGACAATAGACGAGAGCAACAGGCAGAGACTTACTGGGCTCATTGATCTGCAGCCAGCAGGGACCTTTCAGCTTCTGATCCAGCACAAAGCGTTCCAGACTGAACACAAAGAGCACATACAGAGTCACACACACACACACACACACACACACACACACACACACACACACACACACACACCTCAGACCTCAGACATGCCCATCGCGGGAGCGATGATAGCGAACAGCTATGTTTAGACATAGCAACTTGTGCTGGGATTACACCATCCAACAGCTTGCAAGGCTGATGAATTGACCGCCACTATTTTTAGCCTGGTATCCACCACACAGCTGTTTGAAGTGACTTTTTCTGGCCAGTGAATCCCTATTTTTCATTTTTCCATTTTTTTCTTTTTCTACACACACACACCACACCACATACTCCGGCATACACTGGCTGTTGGTAACCACCCAGGAGAATGAAAGAAAAGTCAGGAAGAGTCTGAGAAAGAGAAGAAAGACGTGTGTGACCATAATCGTCGGGAACACACACACACACACACACACACACACACACACACACACACACATAGAGAACGTACAGGCTGTCAAGCAAGCATTCCCAACACGGCAAGAGAAGTGCACGAGTGTAATAAGCTGTACGGAGCAGCAGTACGGGGAATACAGGATGTCAAAGCAGGGCCTGTACTGCAGTACTAGCTTACCAAGATGTGCTTGTTCCAAACACACGGCTGAACGTTCTGCCGGACAGGTCTGCTGGCAAAGCTGGATAAGAGAACTGAGAAGAGACAGAGAGAGGCAGGGGGAGGAAATAAAGGTGAACTACTTACGAGTAGTAGTACGAAGGATGAGGAACTGCAGTCTACTTCAAATAACGCATGGGGCCGGGCAGTGAAGATGAGGTTTGTGACAACTGCATTTTGCATGTTTTTTCCAATACATTGAATATGAAGAGGCATTCCACTTCAAAAGCAGTCATGCTAGTACACGTTGTGCAGGGTACAGTTAGGTGCTCATTGCTAAACAAAAGCACACGACAATGACTACACCGAAGACACAAACCAGCAAGGACTACACCGAACACACCAACCATCATGGAACTACACCGAATAGAAAAAGGAGGAGACCTACAAAGCACTAGAGCTTACCGAGTACTTGATCTCTAGGTAATCGGAGGATGCCGGAATGCCTGGAATGTCAAAGCAGTACTTCTTGGTGACTTTCTGCAGCCAGGTCAATCCAAGACGCAAAAGAGCACACAGACACACACAGAGACACACACATACACACACAGACAAACACAGAGACACATCAGAAGATACCAGCGTCAGCTTTAGAGTCAGGGTTCTACCGGATACAGCTGCACCCCGCACCACCTACTGAACCAGGTTATTCACCATAATTCGGATCAGCTTCGATGTATACACGCTCACACAGATCACAGGGGCCTAATCTCAACCAGGTGGTACATGACAGATTTCTTTCAACCAAGTCCCCCCCCCCCACACACACACAGTCACCCAGCTGGGTCACTGACTATGCTGACCTGGCTCTGTAGTAGGCATTGTACAGCCGTCATCATGTTATCAGAATTCAGTGCTTCACCAAGTCAACTAAGCTACAACAGTTCTGCTCGGCAAAATCTGACCCAAAAAAATTCACGGTCCGCGTCTGACTCGGCCTTTGGCCGAGTTTTCCGCATCCGCAGGAACGCCACCACCCAACCTGACCCAAAGTGTAGGCATATTCGCCGACTATTGGGTGCCCTCAACTTGCGCGGTCCTAGATGACCTGGAAGTGGTTCTAATGCAGCTGGGCGTACACATGTACAAATACAGTGTTGTGATCGGAACTGGTCCAGGGTGACAGCGTTGCACGTTGGGTTGCATGACACCGTGCACCACTGTATACAGTATAACACAGTTGAGTTGTTTACACGGGCATCACGAGCGCTTCCAGGACCCGCCGTACCTTGGACAGATAGCGCATAATCTTGTACTTGGTCGACACAATGTCGTTGAATTCCTACGCACATCACAAACAAGAAAGAAAAGAAAGAAAAGTTTCAGATAGAACACAGCACAACAACCACTAACAAGCTTTACAGTCATTCAGCGGTTCTCTGCTTGACTGCCGCATCCCTCGGTGTAAGGTCAACTTTTCACACGAGTGCACAGCTTCATCAGGAGAGAACAAAGGAGGAAGTGGCATCGGTATGTTGTCGCAGATAATACATGTGCTGTCGACGAAAGCGAGAAAGAGGGTAATTTCACATGTGAACATGGATATAGTGAAGGCAAAGCATAGTGACAGGAGTCTACATCGGGATACTGATGGAGGGCACAGCAGAGGTGAACGAGTTGTACAGGTTCAAATACCGTGCAGTCCATACATGGATACAAACACCGGATTGGACGATATTGAATCAAAGAAAATACTAAATCTCTGGACAGCTAGCCGCTTCAACCTTGTTGGAATAAAGAAATTATGTTGACATAGTACTGTATGCATATGTTGATGCAGGGTTCTAGCCAGGGGAAAATAGGGGGGGGGGGGGGGGGGGGGGGGGAGGAGGGCATGGGAAACAGTTACCCCGTATCCATTTTTCCAGTTTCCAATATTGTCTTGCCACGTTAACCCTGTGATGTGAATTTCTTTTCCAAGTGCACTTATCAACACACCTGGTACACATCCATGATGGTTACATCCTCATCTGTCTCTTGGCCATTCTTGTCCAGTTTCTTGGCACGAGGCAGAAAGTACATCTTGCGCTCAATGTTGTTAACATGCATGCAGCAGCTGCAGTGAATAGAGACGACCAGGACAGTAACAGAAATACAGAAAACGATGGACATGCTCGATCAACTCGGTGATAATGGAATAACGTACTCAAAAACGAGATGAATCCAGATAGAGAGCGATCATACCCAGCAAAAGTACGGATTGGATTTCTTGGCGATGGGCATAAGACTCATAACCACCACCGCACGTACAGTGGTCAAAGAAACCCGATTGCGTGAGTCAAGTTTTCGCCCAGCACTAGTTCACATCCCAGCACCAGTTCACATCCCACCCTGCGCAAGTCTAGGGTTGCACTGCGCCAGGCAGGTACTTTATTTCACTGCTCATATATACCTTCCGAGCAGCATAATGGGCCATTCACACTGCGCCCAAAACGTGGCGTACGTGACGTTTTCGTCCTGATAGCCATGACGACATGGAACGTGGCGGGAAAATCGTACCCCTGACACGAAAAAGTAGACGACGTATCCAGACCCCTGTACCGAGGTTCGTTCTGTCATTCCTGGCAGTTTGTGTCCAAAAGAAGCTGTGCGCACAGCTGTACGAAAGGCGTATACGTGCCTGTGTGAATGCACCTGCATGAAAACGACGTCTGCCAGTACGTCGTATTCCAAAACGTGATGGGTATTGTAACGTAGGGCCACCCTTTCTTTTTTCGTTGTTTAACGTCCGCGCCCGCGCACCTTTTTGCCTCCGACCGGAAAAAAACAAACAAGAAAGTAGTAGTACCAATAATATGCGAAGTTGTAAATACATGATTGTGTAGTTTCACAGTGTGCCAATCATGACCTTAAACTTATAATCTTGCCTCCCGGGCATGCCTTTGTCTTGTGTTCTTTTTCTTTTTTTGTTGGCTTTTAAATATCGAACGGTGTGTGTCCTAGTAAAAATCTAGATGTAATGAATTCATGACATGCTAACTCCATGCTATGTACCTGTTTTGTTGGATTCATCAGGCATGTGCTCCAATGTACCATCAAAGAGTGTTGTTCTATGCCTGCAAGTGCCGTTAGACCCAGAAATATTGTACATATCACATGCTTTACTGGTCAAAATGTTTGATTGGGGTTTCCAGTTGTTGGAATGGGCTTTTGTTTTTTTTCGCCCTCCCGCGTACCTTTTCGCGAAAAAAAGGACGTTAAACAATGAATTAACAAAGGGTGGCCTAGTATCAAAAGTAGATAAACAAGAGTGTGCAACTCGCGGATGGGTAGGCCCACGGCGGAATTTTTTGTTGACGTAATCTTTTCGACGACGCTCGCGCTGCGAGTCTTTCGGAAAGTTTTCCCTCGTGCTCTTGGCCGGCTTTACACTACAAGGTCGGTGCCCAGCACATGCTCTCACACTGCTCTGCGGCAAAATGCGCGTTCTTCTGAAAAATGGTGACGTCAACAAAAAATTCCGCCATGGGCGGGGGTATCTGCAGATTGTGCAGGAGAGATGCGGAGTTGCACACTCTTGTTTATCTACTCTTGGTAGTATGAATAGCCTATAACTAAGAAGCAATACACAGATCACCACCATAGTGAATGAGAAGCCAAGGGTCTCGACTGTCAACCAGGTACTCACTCCGTGTGGAACTGCACAAGCGTGTACAGAGGAAACACTCCTCAAACTCAAATGTGCAGTGGCAAGGCAGAGTAACACCAGGCAAGCACTCGCACCAGCTCACGTACCTGACAAACGTTGTACGACCCGTCTTCTTGTCCTGCCGCGGTGCCTTGCCAAAGACGTGCACCGAACCTAATGAGAAGCGTACAATGAACGCCGAGGATCAGGCTGATACAAAGCTTTGCAAACTGTTACAATAGACCATCATAATTATAACACACAGTACTGACACGGGAAATCCGCCCTCGCGAATAGAATACATGTAGCGGCGGGTACCACACCGCCGTGGCAATACGAACACACTACGCGCCCACTCAAACACGGTATTGCTTTATACAGGGGAAGTAAAAAAATCAGCAAACTTCAGTGGCAAGCATTGTACAAGCATGGGTATCACCCTCAACCATCAAACCGTACACACATCACACTGCTATATGACAGGTGAAAGAGATTGCGACTGTAGATCGTCAAACGCCTATGGTAAGATGAAATTAATCGAGGGCACACTCAAAACAACAAGACTTAGTTTCTCTCTGGAAGAACACCAGTTAGATTTCCTTGCCATTCTAAATCCCCTCCTGCATCCATGAAAACACTAGAAGTCTTGGACTGACTGAAACTTGAAAGGGTCTTTACCTGGCTTCTCACGGGCTTCTTCGTACAAGTCTATCCAGTAGAATTGCAATGCAGAAACACCTACACACATAACATATTAACACACACACACAGGAGCACGCACACACACACACGCACGTGCGCACACACACACACATACACACACACGCGCACACACACACACACACACACACACACACACACACACACACACGTGCGCACACACACACACACATATGCACACACACACACACGCGCACGCACACACACACACACACACACACACACACACACACACACACACACACACACACACACACATGCACACACACACACACACACACACACACACACACACACATACACACAAACACAAATGTCAGATACAGAATAGAAATAGAGCAAGTGGTTTGACATCAAGATGTTAAGACAACAATACATCAATACTGGTACGTGGACAATCAAAGCACAGTCGCCGACGTTGAGAACTCCTGACACAGGAGGCACATGGTCTTACCGTCGACATCATGGGTCAGATCGGTGAAGGTGACATCACTAGAGTCCACCGACATACTGTGCGTGGGCTCCTCGGTAGCCATACCAGCGAATGCAACACCTGAGCATGCACCAAGCCGTAGAGGACAATGGACAGTAAAGGATACTGCATTTATACACAGTAAAAAATACTACACACACACACAGTAAAAAATACTAAAAATAGATAGCACACAACAGACTTGTTATCACGCACATGCATACACATGTGCGCGCGCACACACACGCACACCCACACACACGCGCGCGCGCGCACATGCACGTGAACGCGCGCGCACACACACACACACACACACACACACACACACACACACACACACATGCATACGCGCAAGCACGCACACCCACACACCTGTGAGAGAATGGGGGATCTCTTATCGCTGCTGTAGAGCAGGGAACTTGCAGCGCTGGGACTGACCGTGCAAGCGCACACAAGGCTGCGATGCTCATACACTGGCACGGTTCAGGGATAGTGGGATTGCAGTAGAGTGCATACATTCACACAGGGCTGCCGCACAATCATTCCCAACGCTACATTACCTCTTGTCTATACAAAGCAAGTAGGAAAGCACGCACATTGCTTAACACCTACACAGTAGTAACTAGACAAACGACAGAGAGTTCACTTTGTTCCTCTTACCATCTTCCTTTGTACTCTCCATGGCTATAAGCAACACACAAGCAACACACAAGCAACACACACACGCACACACGCACACACACAGGAAATAAAAATGAAGCAGTCGTGTGAAAACATAAGCAATGTACATTGTACATCTACATGTTTAGGCCAAAATATGCAATAATAATTGGGAATATCCATCCATCCCCCCCCCCCCCCCCCCCCCCCCCCATCCAACGCCACCCCTAGCCTTGAAGTTTGAGACAAATTCTTGCACTGAAGCAGATTGGTTGTAGGTAAAAATGGGGGGTCACAGAAAATTTTGCACCAGGACGGATGAGCCCTTTAGTAAGGCCTTTACAGAAGAAAGTGAACTGTGACTGGTCAGGAGTTGCGAACGGCTTCGCGCCGTCATTGTGTGCAAACGTGAGCTCTGAAGCATTCTCTTGCCCACGGCACACCGCACATGTAGCAGTAACTTACGGATATCTTCATCCTTCATTTTAGGCTTCGCAGGCTCCGCCGAGCCGTTTGCATGACTAGGCAATGTGGGTGACGCACCATTTGCAGTAGATCCTGGAAAGGAGAAATGAATTAATAGCAACGAGAAAAGATCATGACGAGATGCTGACCAGTGCGAATACTGACTGACCAGACGCATGGTCCAAACAAGAGTGGATAAATGCATAGCCTTTGACGTACAGCCCAGTCAACACACGACACATCCAGGCAAGCAAGTGGCAACAGCAATGGCATGCGTCAAGAAATAGGGGGAAGTATTAGTTGTTAAGGTCTACAAAGCTGAAACATAGGGCCACATAGACAAGCTTGTGACACAAAAATGAAAACAATCAGCCATGGCATTGCGCTGACTAATGGCTGCTGCAATCAGTGAGTTCCCAGGCGTACTCACGTCCTCCTAGCTTACCCTGGTCCGTCTCCACACCCCAATCATCATCCACCATATCAGCAAAGCCATCCATGTCCATCGCAATGTCACCAAAACCATCATTTACATCACCTGCAACAAATAGAGAGAGAGAGAGAGAGAGAGAGAGAGAGAGAGAGAGAGAGAGAGAGAGAGAGAGAGAGAGAGAGAGAGAGAGAGAGAGAGAGAGAGAGAGAGAGAGAGAGAGAGAGAGAGAGAAATTGCTATATACAGGAGCACCATTTCTACAGTCTAGCTGGCATAGTTATGTTACGTTATCTTATTTACTTCACCATAGGTACAGGCATTGCTGTCTTCTTGCTGCTGATCATGAATGAGCTCCAAAGCTATGAAGGTATGCGGTGAAGACTAACCATTAGTAAACGAAGCACCATTACTATCTCCAGCTTTAGCCTGGGAAGTTGCAGCAGAGCCATTAGAAGCAGCAGCGGCTGTGGGGTGGCGATGCACGGAGCGGGGCAGCTCCGGCGACGCAAAGCTGGCAGGGCTTGCGCTCGTCGCCTGGGCAATGCTCGAGCTCCCGCCACCGCTGAGCTGTGGCGTGTCGTAGTTTGGCGATAGGGAGGACAGATTGGCACCGCCGGCTGAGTGCGGCAAGGACATGTGACGCGGCCGCACGCCACGGCCAATACGCGACGGTGTGCCTGACATCGGGGTGCCCGACATCGGTGTGCCTCTGGTATGAACAATTCGGAATAGAAACACAAACGCAAAACTTGCAGGGAAACGTCTGAATCGGATACAGACAGGTCCGGGCACATGATAGGCGCATGCACTAGAATGTCTCTCACACTGTGGTGTCCAGGCAATGACATGACGTACTGGGATTCAAATCTACACAAAAGCCTGGGCGTTGGCATTAGGCCTCCGCGGAATATGCCGGCATAATTTCGGGAATTATCGGTGTGATTTTTAAAACGGGAATTATTGGCATTTTTTGTGGAATAATCGGTAAAATTTGAGCAATGCCCCCCTTTTTCAATTTTTTCCATTTTAACACCATGATTTGTACCAAAAAGCTTGTGATCCTGAATGAGTTGATCGCCCGGTATTTCAAAAGAGAAAGAAAAAAAAGCTTCCAGCCGAGTTTCAAGCGAACCGTGATTTTTTTGCCCGTACAAGTGGCAAAAACCCCGTAAGCGGTACGGTATATGCAAAAAAGGGAAGAAAAAAGCATTATTGTGAGAATTATTGGTGGAATTACGGGAATTATTGGTGGAATTACGGGAATTATCGGACGTAATTTTGAGCAATGCTCAAAGGAATTATCGGTAAAAATACGAGCATATTCCGCGGAGGCCTAGTTGGCATCAGGGAGTCGTACTCAAACTAGGGAGGTGACACGGCACAGAAATCCGTGTCACAGGGGTTGACTCGCACCCGTGACCCCTCGTTGTTATTTTTGGAATAGTTCAGTCCAGTCCAGTCTGAAAGGTCATACTCGGATCGACTCGCCTTCTGTACTTCACCTCCAAGCGTGCCGCATGGGTGTCTAGTTTTTGAAATTATTGAGGCAGCACATTTCGTTTACAGCCCATCACTCGCCAATATTCTTTGAAAGACTACCAGCAATTTGTTTAGCTCCTGCCATGTCCGAACTACTTGATAGCAGTGATGGCAACAGCAGCAGTTATGAAACGGCGTGTAGTGTTGCGGTAACTGTTCAGAACTTTTCAGAGTCGTATCCTAGGTTAATTCGAATACTAAAAATTGACCCAAATTGCACAGAACACGAAGCTGGTTTTTTAAAATTGTAAGTCGTGTATCTGCCCCATTTCTTCTTTATGACTTGCACAATACACCAGTCTTCCTAAACAACACATTTATAGCAGGGGTTAAGTACCATATAAGAGAAGTACAGCCAGTGATATTGTCATGTTGAAATACTACAATTTTGACACAAATTACACATAATACGAAGCCAGGTTTTGAAAAATGTAAGTCGTGTATCTGCCCCATTTCTTCTTTATGACTTGCACAATGGTCCAGTCTGCCTTAATAACACATTTATAGCAGGGGTTATGTACCATATTAGAGAAGTACAGCCAATGATATTGTCATGTCTAAAAACTACAATTTTGACACAAATTACACATAACACGAAGCTGGTTTTTGAAAATTGTAAGTCGTGTATCTGCCCCATTTCTTCTTTATGACTTGCACAATACACCAGTCTTCCTAAACAACACATTTATAGCAGGGGTTAAGTACCATACAAGAGAGCTACATTGTACATCTAGTCATACTGTCATAAACAGCCAGCATTTTTCCTGCAGCAGTCACACCACCATCGTCATTATTTCCAGGGAAATCCTCTTACATTGTCAGCTCCTATGTCGTTAGATACAATGTAGGGGGCTGTAGGACCGGCTCGTCAAAAATAGAGAACCTGAACAAGCGTGCTCGGGACGTCTCAGCAATCGTAGTATGCCTGAGCACTCCAATAAAAACTTGATCAATGGCAAAATCGTTCCCCACAGAAAAATCATACTTTGCGGGTCTTGCGTTGCACGCTTGGAGGTGAAGTACAGAAGGCGAGTCGATCCGAGTATGACCTTTCGGACTGGACTGGACAGAACTATTCCAAAAATAACAACGAGGGGTCACGGGTGCGAGTCAACCCCTGTGACACGGATTTCTGTGCCGTGTCACCTCCCTAGTTTGAGTACGACTCCCTGGTTGGCATACATGGCCCCCGGAAGCATTGCATGTTATAGAGCCAGTCAATGAACAGAAAGTACCCCCTGGAAGCATTGTGTGTAGAGCCAGTCAATGCACAGAAAGTACCCCCCTCTCCCCCAGCAGCATTGTATGTCACAGAGCCAGTCAAACAAAGTGACAGCCAATGCACAGAAAGCACGTCCTGGGAGCACTGTACATGTATGCTCCCAGAGCCAGTCAATGCACAGAAAGTACCCCCTTGAAGCATCGCCTGATACAGAGCCAGTCAAGGCACACCGACAGCATCAAGTAGTGTTGACACAGAAACAGGAGACTAGCAGCAGGAGAGTGAACAGTTCAACACCCACCCAGCTGGCCTGGAGCGTGACGGGGTGTGTATCGGCGCCGGTGCGGTCTATACAAGCAACACACAACACCACCAACAGTAACAGCAGTACCAACAGCTGTGTAAGCGCCGTGAAAACAAGGCAATTACAGAAAAGTTAGTATAGTATACAGTGGCAAAAAGAAAGAAACAGGTATTCAAAACCTCTCACAGTACAAAGATGGGAAGAAAATCAGTTACCACTCAGAGTTTCATGCTTTCGCGATCACCAGACAACCTATTTTCCGTTTTGAAATCTCTTTTATCTTTCATCGTGAACCATGCACATGCCGTTTGTCCGCACCTTTAAAGCCATGGAGGTATATTCGATTACAAAGCCAGTCACGGCTGTTTGTACTGCACATAATCCGGACTTTTGATTTTGTACGGGACAACCGCAGAAATTTGAATTTTTAAGATGTTGACGTCGCTTTTTCAAGGATTTGGTGGGATCAACTGAGGTAAAACAGCTGAATCCCAGCGAATCCACAGGGTTTACAGGGTGTTTTTTTCTCCTTCCCGTTACCTTTCATGTCGTGTCCCTTGAGGAAGTTCTGTTGCTGCTGGCTCTTTCCTTTCGTCGTCGTGGTGGTGGAAGCTTTCTACTGCTGTTGTGAGTAGGTGGTAATTGTCAGAGAAGACCCCATTTCTTGCTGCTGGTGTCCGTGAGTGCCAGTTTCCCTGTACAGTCAAACCTCTTTAGGACGAACATCAAGGGACCGATGATATTTGTTCGCAATAACGGGAGTTCTTCTTATCCATATGTTCTACCCAGTGAATACACAGGGTTATATCCAATACAGTTACGAATACTAGTTCTTAGGCAAAAACATTTGTCTTATCAGTGTTCTTCCTAACGAGGTTTCACTGTACTTGTAGTTAATTTTTATTTATTCCTTCGTCTGTATAGACGGCCATTACGTGTTTCTTGTGGTGTTCACAACATTGCTTTCGTGAATACATCACTTCTTATGGGTGTGGGTGGGGTATGGTGAAACCTCAGATATGGAGGGGCATATGGAGAAGTTGAAGCTCCGATGTCGTGTAGGGGGCAAGCTTTTCTCCTCACTCCATCGAGGAACAAGTACCCTATAGTGGAGTACAAGGCAGAGATCAGGCAGTGTTTTGGGGTGAACACTGAGAGTGATTTGGATGATGTGCACCCACCTTTCTTTTGTGCAAAATGCATGGCCACGATTCCTATTCGTGACAAAAGGAATCTTCAACAGTGTCCAGATACCTCCAATGCTGGCTGTGGTGCTGCTGTTGTTTGGGAGCCTCATGATAAGAGTGTGCAGTCTGTGTGGTGTGCGAAAAATCAACGGGTGGCAGGCCTGCAAAGCGCAGTAAAGCCTCATTATCTAGTGCCTCCCACTCTGTCAGTGTATGCAGCACTAGCACTCTCAATGGCATTGATATGCCCAAGGCAGAGTTTTCGGAGAGGGCCGCTCCACGTCAGCGATCATCAGAACACCTTTTTCCATCTAGGATGAGAAATCCTCTGCCCTCCTTATTGTGTTGTGTATGTCTCTTTGTTGCAGACCAGTGTGTAGAATCATCTTGCTGCACAAAGCTTGTCTGTGCCGAGTGAATCTAGGAGTGGTTGCAACACAACTCCTGCTGTCCACAATGTGAAGCCAGCACAATCCTTTCGCAATACGCACATGTGCATCCGCTTGTGCAGGCAGTGCTGCGTGATGTACAACTACGGTGTGATTTTGCCAGCGACAATCCACTGGCTGGTTGTCAGCAGTTTGTCAGACTGCAGGATTTGGCTTTGCACTGCCAGAGTTGACCGTCACGGCCCAGTTCCTCTGCAGGTCATCACGCTGTTGTAACACCATCGTCCAGCGTACAAGATGTCCTGAACGCATCGCCGTCAAAACTACAAGGCAAGGTGTCCGATAATCTTCTTAGTATTTAACGCTTGTCGCACACAAGCAGAGGGATGGACATTTGCGCAGGGTACGGGTGGGCAGCCTATCACTTGGGTAAGGCAACCTTCAGCAAGGGTTTCTTCTGCTTCTGTTTCAGAACGCACCTTGAGGAGAAGAAGAGCTGAGCTTGAGAGAGCGCGTGAGACCGTATGTGGTGGTAGAGAGGGTAGCTTTGCGCAGCAAGTTCACGAAACGCGCACCCTTCCATCGGCTGAGAAGGATAGTCTCCTCAAGTCTGCGGGTGTCTTTCCACCATCTTCGACAGAGTCTGGTGTAGGTCTTGCAATCAAGGCAGATCTTAATCTTCCCTGGGCAGGACTTCGCAAACTTCAGAGGTGGCTGAAGCTGTTTCGAGTTCCGATAGAGCCGGAGGGCAGCATGAGAAAGAGGCTTGATGAAGACCTCCCTTTGTTATCCTTGCAGAGGAGCTTCCTCTTCAAGCTAGGTCTGGTGAGGTAGTAATGTCTCCTGTGGTGAGGTTCGATTCCTTAGTCAGGGTAGTCCTTCACTACCTTGACATGTACGAGAGTGTGGGTCAGCTCACTTGGCGTGACGGGGCGATTCCCGACGATGAAGTCTGGGTGAAAGTTGGCGGAGATCATGGCGGTAAATCCTTTAAGATGATGTTCCAGATTGCTAACCTTGATCATCCCAATTCTCTTCACAACACCATCCCTTTTTCTTGTCTTTACGGGTAAAGACCTGCCTTCCAACCTTGAGACCACCTTCAACCTTTTCGAGAATCAGTTTCAGGAGCTTGGGGCTACTGTGTGGAAGGATAAGAAGACCAGACTTGTTCTTTTCGGGGATTACGAATTCCTTTCGTTGTCGTACGGCCTTTCTGGTCCGGCTGGGGTGCGCTCTTACATGTATTGCCGCGCAAGCAAAGCCGCCATGCAACTACCACTCGCTCCCTTTGCTGAACGCAGCTTGCATAGCATGAACGAATGCTACAAATCCTTTTCGACTGCGGGGCATGTTTTAGCAAAGGCAAAGCACTTCTACAATTGCATCCGCCCATCCCTCTTTTGCATCGAGCCACAAGATGTCTGTGTTCCTGTGCTACACCTCGACCTTGGCATCTTCCCATGGCTCTTCGAGAGCATGATCAGAGATGCTAAGGATATTGACACCACCTTGGCACAGATCAGTCTCTCAGTCTCTGAATCTGCCAGTGCGGAGTTTAGTAAAGCCGTCCGTCAACAACAACAAATCCAACATGACAGAGACCAACTACAAACTCTCAACACGCAAATGCATCAGAAGCAATTTCAACTACTACAATGGCTTCTGCAACAACACAACCTGAACATGCAACAACAACACATTGAACACGTATCACAAACAATTCAAACCGAGTGGCGCAATTTACAACAATCAGCACAGAAATTAGAAGCAGAGATTGAACGCATGAAAACAGAGCTTGACAAATCAGTTCCGGCGACCGGCCCGTGCGTACAGTCGTTCGAGCCTGTGCTGCAACGCCACCACATTCACAGACAGGCATACCATAGTGGTGCATTCGTGGGCAACCACATTCACATGGCTCTGCAGGACAAGGTCATCGCAGAACTTTGACTGTTATGGCATGGCGCAGGGGGTGAGTCATTTTGCATCTAAAATAACTAGGAAAGCTGCGGCGTTTCGAATATAAAGCCATGTCTTTAAAGGCGCTGACATACGGTAACAGCAGCACGAGTGGCATTTTAAAACATCTGCTCAGATGCCTTACCTTGACCTCCATGAGGATGTCGTTCAGCAGGTTGTCGCCATCCAGAGATACGTTCTCCTGTACGGGAAAGCAAGCATCAAACAGAACAGAACCCGTTGCTGAGAGGAGATGATGGCTTGCGTGCACGGCTATGAGCACACAGGCTCCTTGCAAGCTCACACAGGATATATTCAAGAATGAATACTGTAAGAGTTGAATCTCTAACGGGGCACAAAGTCTGAAACATCGTCAACTCAAGAAACAACTCTTACAGCAGCAAAGTGCCAAAAAGAATGACATAGCACACTGGAGACTGATGCATGGACCGTGCACGACGGGCCGGCGTATGATGCGTGAAAGCTAGGCCGACCGCTTGCTGGAAGGACGGGGAAGCTGGGGCAACTGACACGAACTCACCTCTTTCTTGGGTCGCTTGGCCGCATTCTGCTTGAACATGCTCAATACGGACGCAGAGCGCTTTGTCCTCTGCACGTGCAATACAACAAAAAACAACACAAATTTAGAAACTGGCACAAGAGGAGAGTGACTGCACCATGCCACCGGGGGAAAGGGGGGGAAGGAGCAGAACCGATTATAAACAATTTTTTAACATCCCGACCATACTGGTCTATTCAGTCAGAATGATCATGTCAAGAAGGAATTGTTACATGCACACAAGAAGGAGCAGTGGGAGTGTGCGAATTGGCGCTGTCAGCGCAAAGACGCTTCTAACAGTTATAGCAGAGCTGCAGTGCACAAGATAAAGCAGCAGCAAGGGCCAGTGAGGGTATAGCGCCGGAAAAAAAGGCTGCCGAAATCAGAGAAACGGGTAGAAACTAGAAAGCCTCTACAAGCCTCTGCCATACAATTGCCTTTCCTACCCACCCGTGGCGTTGAACGTAGAACATGCTAAATCTACAACACTTGAGTACTCTAAATTCAGAAATTTTCGGTGCTCAATATTTTCGGTATGAGGGCAAAAGGCAAGGTTAAGTGAACAGAAAGTTTAGGTACAGAGAAGCAGCTCCCTATTGGTTTATGTGAGTTAGTGTTTGTTCGGTGTATTGAAATTTTAGGCATGAAACAGATGCACCGAAAGTACCGAAAATAAAAGTACACCGAAAATTTGTCATATTACAGTGCAGTCAACTTCGCTTATAACGACACTCGGCGGGGCATCAGAAAAGTGTCCTTATTCGCGAAGTGTCGTTATACCCGAAGTCTCATTATATGTGTCACAGTTGGATGGGACTTTGCTCTGCGCATGAAAATTATGTCGTTATTCGCGAATTGTCGTTATATCCGAAGTCGTTATTAGCGAAGTTGACTGTACTCAGTAACTGTCACTCTGTAGTCTAGTCTGTAGTCTATACCTGTGGTTTAGTAGACCGATGAGAGCCAAACCCTGCAGTGGACCATACCAACACAGAACACACACGCAGCACAATCAGAGGTGCACTGAAAACAAACATTCGTGACTCGCGGCATGCCCCGGCAGCGAGCAGCTCTCCAGCACTCTAGGACACAGCGGGCCAGGCGAAACATACCTCCTTTGGAGGTACTTGACGACGATGACGGGGCCTCCGCGGGCTCTTCCTGCTCCTCTTCAAATATCTCTCTGCCAGTATCGTTGTATCCCTCAGCATCTGCACATGAGCACATGCACAAAAAAAGTATGGGAGGCAAAAGAACTGTATCACCAACAGTGCAATTGAATTCGTACCAGCCAGAAAACAGTACCAGTAGAAACCAGTTACAATAACTGCTAGTATTGTTATGTGTTTTCACATAGCAAGCTCTAAAGAACATGGCTGTTACGCACAAACGAATGTTGAACGGTCTCTGCTGGGATGACAGCTACACCATACCTCAGTGGTTAGAGCATCGCTGGCCTCAAGCAAAGGTCCCTGGTTCGAGTTCCGGTGGTGACAGTCAATTTTTTCTTCAGACTTTTTCCATTTGCATCTTTCCCTCAAACCAATGAAAACAAACGCCTACATATATTTATCTGCAAGTGCAAATCCACATCACGTTACTGACCAGCGCCTATGACAAAGTCGTCCTCTTGGCGCTTGCGAACAACCGCCTGATACTCTTTCTCGTCAACGAGGTCATAGACGTCCTCTTTCTCACCGACCTACACACAGGCACACACGCACACACACGCAAACACAGACATGCATACATGCAAAGTATAATTTAGGCAAACAGTTAATTGCACATACATGGTCATACAGATATGTATGTACAATACACAGCAAAAGTCGTTGTAAACAACAACATGACGCTGTTGCTTAGTAACGCTAGTAATACAAAACCTGTACTGCGTGATGCACACACGTACACGAGACATGATCCAACTAATCCGTACGCAAAAATATCCCACCTAACAGTACCAACCGTGCCCCCGACATACAAACACACAGACACACGCACGCACGCACACACACATACGCGCGCACCGACATCATCCCCCCCCCCCCCCCATTATGATGAGCACATTACCTCCATTTCTGACCGGATACCATACTGCTTCGCATCTCTACAGAACCAAGCACAGCAGCGGCAATACAAACAATCAATCAGCAGGGTAGCGAACACCACAGGCAGCAGCAAATCGACTACAGGCGCTTCCAAATATCTGATGCCCAGCACTAATAACATGCACAAGTAAAGGATTGACGTGAATCAACATTACACATTCACTGGTGACCTACAAGAGTCAGTCATACTAAACATGAACTGTCGTCACAATTTTTTGGCTTACTGTAAATTGAGAAACTTTCGCTAGAGATTAAATTTCGCTATTTTCGCGACCACCACACATTCGCGAATATATCGCCGCAAACCTCTCCGTACATTGATTGCAGACAGCACAAGATCCGACTGAAGAGATAGAATCGCAAAAGTTTCTAAATTCTCATCGTGAATCAGCCCAATCCATGAAAACGCTAAATTGCACACAGCACTTTGCAGTATCGAGGTGGCTGATCACGATGGTAAACTTTGTTGTCATCTGAGGCAACTGCAAATCGGTCAAAACTCCAAACGAACGTGCCTGAAATGGTCCTGAAGTACTACAGCGTGACACCACGCTTTGACTCTCCCTTCGCACACACCATCGCCATTACGACGCAGTAACTTGGCCGGTGCTGCGCGAAGCAGGGAGCTAGTACACTGGACGCCGTATGAGGTATACGTTGCACCGGTCCACAGAATGTACACTCCGATGTGCTGCCATTTCAATTTTTGTTCAAAGTAAGAATCTGTTCGAGACTCGAAAGTCAATGCTTTGCACCTCGCCACGGTGTTGAGTCCTTGTGATCAAGCCTGGCGTATACTGCCTTCGCCTGGTGTTAACGCCAACCAGCCAATATCGCTCCTCGGGCTTAAAGGGGAAGTTAAGGCAAAAATTAAAATTTCACCAGTTGTAGTCTTCGGGGTGCTGAGTCGAATGGTCTTGGTCCGAGGAAGCTGAGACGCTCCCTTCCTACTTGAATCCCAATCGAACTCGCGCACTTCCACCGAAACTGGGTGACTGCGCCCTACTAGATGGGGATTTGTATGCAAAATGTCACTAAAAGCGCCATTTCGTTCTTATAAAAGCACGGATGACCGCGATTGGCCCATATGTTGTAGTCTTTTGGACGCTGAGTCGACTGGTTTTGGTCCGAAAAGGCTGCGATGCAGCGTTCCTCCTTTATTCCCAATCGAACATGGTTGAACAAGCGGTCACGTGCTCCTGGGTGCCCAAATCACCTGGTCACCACGCCAGCAGGCGACAACTTTCACACCAAGGTTCAACTCGAGTTCAACTCGAGTGACAGGACTGCACCCAAAAAAGGTCAAACAGGCTAGTAAGTTGTACCCTGCAGGCACGGTGACCAGGTGACTGGCGTACGCAGGAGCACGTGACCGCTTGTTCAACCATGTTCGATTGGGAATAAAGGAGGAACGCTGCATCGCAGCCTTTTCGGACCAAAACCAGTCGACTCAGCGTCCAAAAGACTACAACATATGGGCCAATCGCGGTCATCCGTGCTTTTATAAGAACGAAATGGCGCTTTTAGTGACATTTTGCATACAAATCCCCATCTAGTAGGGCGCAGTCACCCAGTTTCGGTGGAAGTGCGCGAGTTCGATTGGGATTCAAGTAGGAAGGGAGCGTCTCAGCTTCCTCGGACCAAGACCATTCGACTCAGCACCCCGAAGACTACAACTGGTGAAATTTTAATTTTTGCCTTAACTTCCCCTTTAACAAAGTGTTCATGATCACCGGGATGATGCGCTTAAGGATGATTACAGGGGCATGGGCCAACTGGTTCATGACATACTCAGGGAGCGTGGCAATTCTGAAATTATTTCTCATAAACACAGCTGGAAGGCTGTTGGTTTGCGCACTGGAGGTGTGTGAGAGCTAGGTCTCAGGCCGTTGAATGTCACAGTAACATGTCAGTTTTGTGCCCTGTTATCGTACTTTCTGACTGCTTATTATCTTGTTACAGTCGTGGATAGTTGCTTCATAACTCGTTTCCATGTGATTTCTTCTATTTTAATTATAAACACAGCGTGTGTGTGTGTGTGTGTGTGTGTGTGTGTGTGTGTGTGTGTGTGTGTGTGTGTGTGTGTGTGTGTGTGTGTGTGTGTGTGTGTGTGTGTGTGTGCGTGTGTTTTACCACTACCACTACAGTCAACCTTGCGAATAACCACCGAGTGTCGGTATTTTACGAGTCCATTATTTTAAAATAGAGAAAAGGACCAGGGTACGCTATGATGTCCACTAACACCACCAGGAACTAACTTGTAGTTCCCTGGTCCTTTTCTTTATTCCTCTCCGTCCGAGTCTATTCACGAGTCGTCGCTACTTGTGAGGTTGAAAGTATACAGTGATATGGTCACTAGGTCTGAAGATATCGTTATTTTCGGGTTGTTGTTATACATGAGGAAATTATTCACGGGCAGAATCGACATAGCCAAGAACCACTTCAAACGGACTTCGAGCTACGCCCCTGATCAATAAGGTGAACTGCTAACGGAGTAGCAAATTGACTTCAGCGTACCTCTCTCTTCTTTTTTTTCTCCCTTTCCCACTCTCTTATGAGGGTTATCTTGAGCGTGGGCAAATACCAACTGGTGAACATTTCCTTTGTTGTGATGACAAAAGATACCGTAGTGTCTTGTATTAAAGCCTATCTCGAATAGACGCCTGTTTTGAATAGAAGCCTGGTTTTCAAGATACACTGTCGGCACATAAGCCTGGTTTTTGTGTTGACACACATAGAAATACCTGGTTTGAATAGAAGCCTGATGTGAATAGAAGCCTAGCCCTGACATCGACTTCTACAGGAATAAGCCCGGCTTTAATACGCGACATTACGGTACGCGGGACGGGCAAGTAGAGCGTGACGTCACGCTAAACTTCAGGGCAATTTTTGGACACTTTCGCTTGGAGTTTGACCGGCTTGCAGTGGCCACAGAAGAAAATAAATGTACCATTGTGATCAGCAACCCCAATACTACAGGCTAAGGCAAAGAAAAATAATTGCTGACAGTTCCCCTTTATTAAAATTAGCTACCTTCGCCAACACCATGCTATCAACACCATACAGATAATTCCATTCAATCCGGAATGTCTGGTGGCCCGGTCACATAATGCCGCATACGATGGAAGGGATATGGTATGCTATGGCGACTCCTGTGAGTTATTGCACACTGTACGCCGTGACATTATTATAACAAGAGGCATGCTCTGGCATTCAGAGGGTGCATAAGCGAACCTGATTTTCTGCAGTTGACTCTTCCTCTTGTCTGAGGCTTCATTTCCACGAGACCTTCGGCCTCTGCGCATGGCCAAAGATCCTATAAATCGGAGAGAAGAAATCGTACGCCCACGATGTAAAAAAATCATCGTGACAACTTGAAAACAGCGTGAATTCTCACCATCATTCGAATCATCGTCCTCCATCCTGCTGCCTTTCAGACTATCAACAAACCAGAGAAAACTGCTGTCTGGAAAAGTGGACACTCCAGTTACCTCTAGCGAACCCACACCATTCCCGTTCAACGGGGATGGAGAATATCACTGCACATAAACGACTTCAACACCGTCAATGGTGAGTTCGAAGATCCTCTTGACCAGTTTGGGCATCCTTCGTATGTCAGAACGTGCTTTTTCTCATTTCAAGAATCACTCTTCAACCTTCCCGCCATTTGAACCAGCCAGCCTTCGAGACTTCGGCCACGCATTCTTGTTAGGCGGCGCGCGGTACGCGCACGCGGTACGCTGCGCACACGTGTGGTCCATGACCATATGTGCCATGAGTCCCATGACTTGTCTTGCACTTGCACTGCATGCGGCATGATCAGACCGTGAAGATGAAGATGCTGCACCATCATTACCAAGGCCAGGGCAGGGGTGGGGGTGATGGGCCCATGGCATGGGGGTAGAAAGGGCCTTCGTTTCTTGTCTGCCATGCCCTGATTGGTGGCATATTACTACATGTACTAGTAGCAAGAGTACATAACCCCCCGGGGTTATCATGGTGATGTACTCTTGCTAGTAGTAGTAGTAGTAGTAGTGCTTGGTGCTAGTAGTAAAGCTGTTTGACAACGTCCTGGCTAACACCGACTCTAATGATATTGCCATTTACTATCAAGAGTATAATATACTCTTGATAGTATAATGGCGACTTCAATCACGTGACCAAAAGGTTATAATTATACTCTTGATCGGCATACAGCCCCTCATCGAGCGTCTCAAGGATCCAAGTCATCACATCCAGAATTGGTACGCAGACGACTCGTCGTGCCTCGGGAGGTTGCTGCGAATCAAGGAGTGGTTCCTCTCCCTCCTTGAGCAGGGTCCAGCGTTTGGGTACTTCGCCGAGCCCTCGAAATCCATCGTGATCGTCAAGCCCCATCATGTGGAGGCCGCCAAGACAATCTTCGGCAATCTAAACGTGCAAGTCACCACCTCCGGTCGCTTCCTGGGTAGCTACATTGGTGACCCAGACTAGTCTCTTCCTTTGTCCGAAGCAGAGTGAGTGATTGGGTCGATGGTGTCAACTGTCTTGCCACGGCAGCAAAGGCGTACCCGCAGTCCGCACACTCCGCGTTTACGGGATCCCTCTCGTGCGAGTGGACCTACCTCCAGCGTGTGTTGGAAGGCAACGAGACCGAGTATACCTACCTTCGGGACACTATCCGGCACGTATTCGCCCCCAGCTTGCTCGGTCGTGGGGTGCTTGACGTTGAGCAAGATCTGTTGGCCCTTCCAGCCAAAGTGGGAGGTCTTGGCCTGGCCAATCCCGTTACGTCAGCCCCTGATGCTCATGCCACTTCGAAGCGCGCCACTGAGGTTCTGCAGGCCGCCATTTGCACCGGTGCACCGGTTGACACGGCTCACCACATCAGCCAGTGCCGTCAAGTCACCAGCGAGGTCAGCCGTGCTCGAGACCTGCCGATGACGGAACGTAGTAAAGTCCTCCGAGCTGCGCTTCCGCGTCGCCAACAGCCGACCCTCAATCGCATCGTTGATGGCAACGCTTCCAGCTGGTTGATCGTGCTTCCTCTCAAGCAGGAAGGTTATAACATGTCGGCGGTCCAGTTCCGCGATCAGTTGGCCATTCGCTATGGCCAGGAGCCGAACGCTCTCCCGTCGCATTGCGATGGCTGTGGAGCTGCTTTCTCCCTACAGCATGGCCTGGATTGCACGAAGGGTGGGCTCATCAAGCGCGGGCACAACGATGTCCGCGACTTCGATGCCCGGCTGGCAGACGTTGCATGGGGAGGTGTGGCTGTGGCTGTGTGGTGATGGTACCCGTGCAGGATGGCAACAACCGTCCCACACTGCAGGCGGATTGGCTGGTCCGGGGTGTTTGGGAAGGAGACAGGGTGGCGTACTTTGACAACCGCATCGTGGATGCCGACGCACCCAGCTACGTCCGCTCGAACCTCTCTTGGAACGCCGTATCCAACAGTGCTGCCTCTTCCAAGAAGAGAAAGTACAAGGCGGCCCCAGAGGAACTGCCAGCATCCTTCACCCCGCTGGTCTGCTCAACTGATGGTGCATTGCACACAGAGTACCGTGCGTATCAACGGCGACTTGCTATGCGCCTTGCCTCCAGGTGGGACAAGTCATACAGCAACGTCATGTCCTGGGTGCGGATCCACCATCAGTTTGCTATTTTCCGGGCTGTCGACCTTGGTCTCCGGGGCTCACGTCGTCGCCTCGGTGGGCTGGCAATTTGCGATGGTGTCGCCGTTAACATTCATGCGTATGGCACAACTTATTGTTGTGTGTGTTTGTTTTCTTTCCTTTTCTTTTCAATCTTTTCAGCTGTCACTGATTTGCCCTGATCGTGCCTCATGCGTGTTTTACAGCATAGTACGTTTCCGCATTTTTTTCTTCTTCTTCAACACACGCTAGCTGTATTACTTTGTTCTTGCCCGTACTCTTGATACTATGTATAGGCATTACTAGTAGTGGCCAGTGTCATTCGGCACTGTGCTTTGATGTAAAACATACAAAATACATGTACTACCAAGAGTACATAAACCTTTATGCACTCTTGGTAGTACCAGCAAGAGGCCATATTATTATCATCACCGGGGCATAGGGAGCCCTACACATATGTGTATGTGTAGTAGCAAGAGTACATGAAACTCTTGGTAGTAGGCATTGGCGGATTCTGCTCGGAAAGGTGGCAGATTCTGCTCGAAAAGCAGTGAAACTGGCAGAACCATACAAACCTTATGGCGGGCAATTCCTCGAATTCTGCTCCATTTCTTTATCCACATACCAAACATGCATGAAACTTACCAGAAAAAGAACCGAATTCTGCCAATTTTTCTGCCGCCATTATGCGCAAAGGCCTATACAGGACCGCCGGAAACAGTTTTTGATTGGTCCGGTATTGTTCATACATGTACACTGTACTTTGTGTGACATGGCGGGTACACATCCCATCCACAGACACACACATAAAGTGTATATGCACACCTTTCCTGTCCTGGAGAGCCACTGCCACAGTGGTCACGTGGGCCATCAGAGAGGAAGATGGAGCACGCAGCCTCTCCGGCCTGATGAAGCCGGAGATGGTAGAGCAAACGGAACCAGCGAGAACACACGCATACATGAGTGAACGAATTACGCTGCTGGGCAGTCGGGTGGGGACCAGTCCTCGAGCACCGGTGACGACCGCGGCCTTGCCCAGTCCGAAAGCAGCGGGCACACACAGCACAGCAGGTATCCTGTACAGAGACTCGACAGGCTGAGGAGCGACACACACACACACGCCGCTAGAAGAGAGTGGGCTATCAACCATAACGCACTCGTGCATCGTCGTGTACGCACACACACATACAACCAAGCATGACGACATACACAGTCACTCACACCGCCACTCTCAAAAATACCAGATTTTCATCTTGAACAATGGCACAAAACATGCATTGTTACAGATCAAATAGTTTCGACATACGGTGATGCTTGTTCGACATATTCTTTCAAACGTACAACAGCATTATGATAGAGAAATATCCGCTCCAACATGTGCAGCAGGCGTGGAAGAGAGGCACAAAATAGAAAGCTGTCTTCAGGCGGCGGTTTATAATCAGTGAGCCATGAAATTCGCCATGGCCGTAACATTGATTAAAAGAACCAGTTTCTAAACAGAACCGAGACACACACACACATTATACACGTAGAGCATAGCGCGGCATGCAGCACAACACGAACATAATAATAACACGGGTTTTATTTCTCCAGATCAACAGTGCCACTAAAGAAACGCGCCGGGTGAAATAAAAGAAAAAGAAAAAAGAAGCACGCACAGACTACAAAGTGCCAGGTGAAAAGCACACACGCTGGGTGAAGAGGACAGCAACTTGTTCCATCCTACGTTCTGCCGATTTTTAGTAGCTTTATACATCTTTTTTCTTCTTCTGCAGTATATAAATGACGTACACGTGCACAAATGAGTTGCAATATTAGGTGGGAATAGTCAGGAATTATAAGATGAACGAAAAAATCTTGATGTTAATTTAGGATGAGACCGATGAAGAAAAATGATGGCATAGGGACAATCACGGATGCAACGAAGCAACAGACACCAACAGACAGAAGGGACACGGCCACTGATTACCCCCGAAAGAACTCCCAGAACAATGCACACACACAGCCGAGTAGCAGATGCAGTTGGCAAGTTTCGTAGGCGAGAGAGAGCGGCGCCCCTCCACAGCAGCGGCTACGCGCCCTGGTGTTCAACAACGGAACGAGAATCTACGCGGACAGGAACTGATGCAACGAGCTACGGTACAGCGGACATTCGCATCCTGTGCTGTGCAAAAGAAGCTCAACTTGAGAGGGGCTCTACACGGAGAGCTCAGAATTGGTGAGAGGTGGGATAGAGGCTACACGGAAGAATACCCTGCAAAACAAACAAGACCATAACAAGATTCGAAAAAGAAAAAAAGAGAGTTCAATATACTTTTCTTTTTGCGCCTTTCCCTCAAACCAGTGAAGATACAATTTTCGTTCGGAATTAACTTTCCCAGGGAGCCCATTGCCAATACGCAGATTGTGTAGAAAGTGATCATGGCACGTGGATAGTGGAACCAACATGGCTCACTTCATATCACACATAGATACAGTCGGACCTCGCTTATCCGGTCCTCTTTTATCCGGATCCCTCGCCATCCGGAAGAAAATCGTTGGTTACCGATTTACAGCATATGCCATGCATACATACAGTATGTGTGTTCGATTATCCGGTTCCCTCGCCTATCCGGATATTTTGTGGAAAACGGATGTGTGCGGTTATGCGAGGTCTGACGGTACAAGTGTTGACTGGAGTAAGAATCAACAAGACTGTCCCGCACGGTGATGTGTTAAATTTAAAACCAATAAATAATTGGTTACACAACATGTCAATTAACGATAGTCACATGACGTCTATGGAACACATGAAGAAGAGTGTCACCACAGGGGTCGAGAAAATGAAAAAAAGAGCATGCGAATAGGTAACTTACTCGTGGGAGTACTTGCATCGGACGGATGACAGATCAGTCTGCGGCTTCTTCAGAATGTCATTGAGAGAGCGCACACAGTCAGTCAGCTCTCCGAAGCTGTAGCCCGTGTGGTACTCCAGATGGGGTGTCTTTACAAGCAATGGCATGGGAGGAAAGACAGAAGATAACACCGCAATCAGTACTTCAACACGTCTAGGGGCCGTAGCAAAAATGCCATGTTGTCTCATTGAACAGTCTGTGAAGTACCCCTCCCTCCCCAAAGGATGCCCGGGACGACAAACTCCTTCAATTTATGAAGTTTGAGCAATGTTGTGTCAGCCATGAGTTTTAGCCAACTCACTCTATCAAACAGACTGCATGCGTTTCAGGGACGGCATTGTCCTTTTGTCGCCGCCAGCACGCTTAGGAGAATACCAGTACGGTAAAGCCTCCAAGGTCACAAGAATGCAACCAATAGAGCAATTCTAATAAATAGAACACATCAATTTTTCACCATAACACTTCAAATACTAGACTAGTATTTGAAGTGTTATGGTTTTTTTGCTGCAAATTGTTTGTTTCTATACAAGCAAACAATTTCCAGCATAAAAAAACATTTTGAAAAATTTGACCTATAGGTCTGTTTTTACTGATCACGGCTCTTGTATAAAATCGTGTCAGTAAAACGGCATGGTTGCTCCACAGCAAGAGCGTGAAATTGAAGCACTGTCGCAGATATGGAAATCCGGTCGCAGGTCAAGCGGCCCAGGGCGCTGGCCATGCAGCCGTGAGTACGCATACGATCAACATGTGCACTGCATGCCGCGCTCCGTACGCACTGAGGGCACCGCGTCATTCGACCGGATTTCCACGGCCACGACAGTAACTACTACGGTATGTAGAACAGCAGAATGAGATGTGCTACACCTTACCCAATCGCCTATAGCAGCCATTCGCAGAGTCATGTAGAGTGCTGCCGCCGCTAGCTCCGATGGCTTGCGAGACACAAACGAGTACTCCTGGAGAGAAAGCTCGCAAATGTAACGCGCCAAAGTGTGCGTCTCCATGGTGAGACCAGCAGCCTGCAAGCAACAGAGCAGCAGCAACAGTAGGAGTACATCTTATTAGAAAGGAACAGCAACACCACAACACAACAACTGGCAATAAGGGGCCACCCGGCAGGATCGATAATTTTTCACGGAGCAAAAAAGTTAGTTTTGACCATCCCTCATCCACCAACTTGAAGTAGAAAAATTATCACGGACTTTACAGTAACGGTTACGTGCCACTGCACCCGTCAACAGTAGTCCTATCGTGCGAGACATCCAACATGACTCCAACACACTGGACGGGGGAGGTCACAAAGCCAACACCACTGACACGGAGCCCCTACTCAACATAGACAAGCCGAAGCACATGCTATGCCACACAGTCTAAGGAGACCGTGGACACCTAGGAGTGGCAGCATCTAGGACGACGAGATGAGGCCACAGTGCCTGAAAACGCAATGCTGTCCAGGAAGGTAGCACGACGGGTGTTCAACTGTTGCAACATCGAGCCAAGCCCATGGACGGGCAAGTACCGTAGCACGACGGGTGTTGCTACATCGCATCAAGCCCACAGACAGGGTGGGGGTCAGTACAGGAAAGCTACCCCCTGTAATGAACCAGTTGCACATTGCGGCGTACTCTAGAGCAGTAACATTGCAACAAATGTCTGCCTCACCTTTGCATAACGACGAAGGAAGCGATAGGCGATCGGAATATCTAACTTGTAATCTAGAATTGATAACAACTGAATCTCCATCTGGATAAGCTCTTCTCTAGTGTAAGCATCATCGCAGATGAAAATGAAATCGTCAAGTGGAGGTGGACTAAACTCCTATGCAACAAAAACAAAAAAACAAACAGGCAATATATTTGAGCGGTTGCTTGCACTCGGTCTAACGTGGCTTGACACTGTTGACAGATGCGTCGACCCTGCGCCTGTCTAACAGGTTCAGGGAAGATGCGTTGTGTGCATTATGATTGCACTCGATCACAGGCACCATGCATATGCAAACAATTCAGATAAAATATACCGGTACATGACCAACCAATGTTCCTTATATGGAGTGCTTCTGAATCCAGCAAAAGGCCAGTTTGTTGCATGCCACCGTACGCCCAAATATGCACGGAGCTACAAAACCGTAGGAAACCCGGATGGACAAGATTCAAACAAATAGAACCTACCTCAAACTTCGAAGCAACAAACATGGCGGTAGCACCAACTAGCTGCAGCTCCTCTCTTCGAACTGTGAGCTGCATGAACACCAAGGAAAAAAAACAGAACAAAAAACACGTTTGTACCTTTCCCTCGAACCAATGAAAACAAAAACAGAATAAATAATAAATACATTTCCCATAGTAGTGGTGAAACCGTTTCTGTTACCATGTAGAATAAATGAGCAGTTGACTATTTGCACAACGGTTAGGGGTCGTCCATAAATATCGAACTTTTTTCACAAAACGATATAATTTCGTTATGGGGTGGGAGGGGTTGACCAATTTCGTTTCAGAAAACATTGATGCATGTACATGGTCGCAGGAGCAGGTGCACCACGTACCTGTAACTTTTGTTGTATTATGCATGCATATGTCAACCTTTTTTTACCTTCTGAGGGGGAGGGAGGGAGGGGTTGGGTCTAAACTAAAGTAATTCGTTTGGTGAAAAACGTTCGATAATTACGGATGGCCCCTCACTCCGTTACAATTTCACTATACACCGCACATAATAAACGCAAGCTGTTGAACTTCGTTCACATGAGAACACGTGCGGTTAGAGTCGTCATAAACACAGGTTGCTATCCAATGCAAAACAAGCAAACCGCAGCAAGTAAATTGGCCGTCTCACATAGCACAATGACAGAGCACACAGGGACGTCGGAAGGTATTCTAGTGTGGTATGGTCAGCCATCTGAAGTACAACTTACTCGTGGGGGAGTGGTGGCAGAGCCGAAATTTTTGGAAATTTAGATCAGTGTATTTCATTGATTAATGATTAACGGGGTACCTGGGGCAAAAAGTGGTACGGCCAATACCGTAGTGACTGTGCCCGACGCCCCTGGCACAGTGACCCAGTGGCAACTAACCATGCTAAGTTGACAGGGCAGTATGAGGGAAACAAACCAGACTCACCGCACCAGCCAAGAAGCGATCCACGTACGCAACAGTCAGGTACAGTGTTTCATGGACAAGTTCAAAGTTTTCTTGAATCTAAACACAGCCACATGGAGCCCAGGAAACAGAGAGAGAGAGAGAGAGAGAGAGAGAGAGAGAGAGAGAGAGAGAGAGAGAGAGAGAGAGAGAGAGAACACATACCCAAACCACCAATTTACCACCGATATGATCAGGTGTGACAGGGAAAACGAAAGACACTTCTTTTGCAGTTAGGAGCTGTAGCTGGAAGCGAGCGGGTATCGCCCACTAAGTGAAGTACGATGTCTCACTGGACCCAGAAGGAGCGAGGAGAAGCAAGTGCTGAAGAGGCGCACCATCCGGCCATGGCACTCACCAATCCAAACGCATTACATAGAAAGACGATGGACAGGCATGCAGCGCACACAGTAGTAGCATACCTCCACTAGCCAGTCAACGAGAATAGCACGCATGTGTTCCGTAATGCCAGTCTGTCGTGTCAGATAGGGCTTGATTGGATTAGTCTCCTGTACACATACACACACACAATCAATAGAGAAACACAAACAGATCAACGCCAAACTCATGGCACAGGAGAACATGGACAAAGCGACCTGTGCAGCAACTACAGAGCTGCGTAGAACACCCAGCCTGGATCGCGCTCCGCTGTCCTGAGAACAGGAACAATCAAAATTCGTCTGGGCGGTCGGCTCCGAATTTGCAGAGCTGTGCCTGAGGACTCTGCATTTCACCAGGACAAAAGATTTCTCACTGGAATGGTCACAACCTGATGATCATCCAAAAGCTAGAAAGGAAAGACCGGGCAGTTGTACGGCACTGACCTCCTTCTCACGCATATTCTTGTAGATCTCAGCTACATATATGGCTGACGCGAATGGATTGCTAAGATCAGCTGCACAGAAGAAGAAGCATAAACATAGACACCCACGCCAGGGAAAGGCATCATTGTTGTCTAAACTACTAGAGCATGTCAGACGATCTAAGACACCTCTTTGACTAACCGTTACGCTGTACGCACAAATTACAGTAGTGATAGTAGAGAGATTGCGCATACCAAAGTTTCGCAGCCTGTGACGAATGGCATGAACAGCACTCATTCGCACACCGCCCCATGCAGTACGGTGACTGCAGCAAAGATAGTTTTCAATGCTGAGCCTTTTTTCCGGTACTCCAGGCCAGAAAGACCAAATCTTACAAGCTCTTGTTATGCGCAGCTAATGCTGATCGCTAATGCAGTTTAGCCGGTAGCGCTGCGAAAACACCTACCTTCGTCAATGTCACGATACTGCGGTTCTGTGTCCCCGTCGGCAAAGCATGTACTTGCCGCACTCGACACCTCTCCAACACTCTCCTGTACACAGCACAGTGTCAAATCACACAAAACAATGGTCACCTCGGATCGGGGAGGGGACATGTCACGTGTGTACACTGGACGCAACACAACCACGCCAAAAGAGGACTCTACACAACACTAGTCGCACAAAGAGTACGCAACTTCACAGGGTGTGTGTACAACTCCCGATGGGTAGCGGCAAGAGTACATAACCCCCCAGAGCGTGCAATGCCTGATCCAGCTCTGCATAGGGTCTTGGTCGAGCGTAATCGGATCTTTGCGTCATAATACCGTGCGCATCCATCCCGAGCTTGTCTTTCAGATACGGTGTCAGTTCATCTGGCTCAGGACACATGGTCTACTGTCCCATCGTTCTGCTTCGACTACTGTAGCTGTGATGTGCAAACTCTTTGTACTTCGATTTCTGGTTACGCATCATGGCATCAGTGAGTCAAATGGCTGCGAAAGACTGAAGTCATAAAAACCCTGCCGTGGGCTGGGGAATTGTAGAGCTGCATACTCTTGGTTACTGTAAGACATGTATATATAACGAGGAAGCAAATCTAACGTTTTAACGGATGAAATTTCTTCGTTATAATAAGATCCGTTGAGGCCATACTGCTTCATATATGTGTGTGGATATGCCGAAATACTGCAAGATCGTTAACATAATATTATCTTCTCGTAAACCTATGAATTTTGGACAATCGTTAAATTTGCGAGTCGTTATAATAACATGTCTTACTGTATGCACCCTTGCTAGTACGCCTAAGTCGCAGTACAGCGCCCGTGTTTGCTGCAAGTTCCGTCATAGCAAACACAGCAGGATGGAGTTATGCATAAGGGGAAACAGATAGAATCCAAAAACAGTACGTACTACAGTCGGAGGCGGCGTCATTCTCTGACCGGTCGTCAAAGCACCGTCACACAGCTTGGTCAGCGACTCCGGCGGCTTGATATTGCCACTGCAGGGGCTCGCCGGCCTGGTGTAGGTCTCCGGGATGACTCCCATGCTGTCATCGCTAGTACCGCTGATTTGCAGCGGTTCCAGGCCGGCAACAAGCTGAGTGGACCCAGACAAGCGGCGATCAACCGCTTCATTTCCCTCCTCTGTACTTTCTAGTGCACTCTCGACTTTCTCCACCTTGGCATTTTCCTGTAAGTATCACACATTCATGCACACACCAATTAACAATGTTCAGGTGACAATTTGAAAGGTGGAAAGGAAACAGATCCTATCCCTGATGAATCTGAATATGCAACGTATGGAAAGAAAAGCGTGGCAAACTGCAGGTAAGTGCTGAACACGCAGAGCCTTTTCAAATATGAAAGAGAGAGGGGTCCCCCAATTGGAATATGGTGCGACTTTTAGGTGCTCTGTGTGTTCAGTAGTAAAAAAAACCTGAGCCTGCTACAGCGCACTCCGTGTCGGTATGTCCGTACCTAGTGTAAGGCAGTTGTTATGCACCACACGCGGGTAAGCCCATTGCCAAATAAGGAACGCATGAACACAATACACGTGAGTACGCCGAGATCGTGATTGCGCTAGTCGCATGCCTAAACACCTTGCACACACCATTCCCGGATGGCTGAGTACGTAGGGCGTTGTCGGTACAAACGACGCTGTCGCGCTGTGGGCTTACTAGAGTAAGCGCGAAGTTGTTCTACGCCCGGTTTCAAAGACACTCACACAGGTATACATCCTAAACCGTGGCGGCAAGAGAACGGCATAGACACTTACAAATTCAACAAACTGTTCAGCCGGTGCTACATTCCTGCAATGAACACAGAAACATGCAAGGTCCACAGCAATGAATGACCCAGTTGTACTCTATACATATATAGACTGATGCAGGCATATTAGGGCCGTTTCACACGAGGTATACATGGCTTTTCACGAATGGGCGTTCTAGGCACAGTACACAGCGCGTGATTTCACACGAGTGTCGCAACGTGCTTTTCAAGCAGCAGTTGCCATGGCAGCTTTGACCTGCCTCGCACAGAAGTCGTAAAATACGGAATCCGCACGCGAACGCGGGAGTTTTGAACACAAAATAATAATAATTATTATTAGTTTGGCAAGGAGAGATGTTCTCTCCCTGATTCTCGTTTTCTTTGATCGCCACAAGGAGAGAAAGATGAACGGACGAGAGAGGTTGCAAAGGATGGCGAGGCGTAGAAGGACTGCATTGCCCTCGCTTGTTCAAATCTATCAAGGGGGTGATCTCGATATCCAAATTGCTCTCTTTGGCAAAAGCATTGAGTTTCTCGGCGATCTCCCTTTCCCTCGCAATACGCTTCACCATCTGGCCACTTTTTGACTTTTGATAGTCGGACCACAACTCAATAAGTCTAGCCTCCAGGTCATCAGAGAATATTTGGCGAGGCATTGTCCGAAACGGAAGGCACAACCAGCAACCAGCAATGAAAGCAAACAGAAGCAAACACGACGACAGATCACAAATTGACACAATGCAAGGAAAACGAAGTTTGTCAGTAGAACGCTGGGTATATCCTGCTTTCTACACCCCTCCTGGTCTTGCTGAAAACGTATACGATGCGTTTCACATTTCGCGCCAAAAGTGCTCCATCTCCTAGGGAACATAACCGGAAACGTCACATGTACGCGATTTTGTACCTCGTGTGAAACGGCCCTAAGTATACCAACACTAAAAAGGATAACAATAACCCCCCCCCCCCCCCAAGAGGGTGCAACGCTGCATGGGTTTCCTATGGCGTCCGTCGAAGCGAAAACTCACACATCACCTGGTGCAGTGTTCATGTTGTACGTTCCCGGCCTGTTTTAGCCAACACTGAAGTAGTAAAGATAGTACATCCTGCCGGATGCGAGTCATCAGCATGATCGTGGCAGATATCCAGACTGTGCCAATGCCCATAGTACGAAACGTACTTGGTACACGAGATGTGAGTTTTTTCGCCAACGGAGACCCCAACAGTTGCACACTCTGGCTTATACCCATATCCGCTCCCATATACAGCTCACCATCACTGCACCATATGCACTGATACTATGCGCATGCACATCGTTGATACTGTTTCTAGGGATCATAATACAGAGCTTTCCTGAGCTCCTAGAGATAGTTATTAGGAATACAGCAAGATAGAAATGCTGCATATGTCAAGTCAAATGGTGGCAAATGGAAAAGCATCAAAGTCAGCGCTGCAAGGGGTTTACTCATTTCTCCCTGGCCTGCCAAGGGCGCGTTCGGACTACCGATAAAAAGTGACGGAATGGGAAAGTTTCCAAGGTGGTTTGATCACATGATGTTGCAGGCATTTTGGAGGCGAAAACGTTTTACTGCTGTGGATGCTGCGGCGGAAACAGTAAAAATGGCTTCGAGCACGGGGAAAATCCCTTCTCGGTGCCGTGGCGAGAGCTGCGCAAGTAACGCTAGTTTACCGGTAGTGTGAATGTCGTTCACGGTTTATCGCCATTCGCGGTTTGACGGGGTTCTGGGTAGTCTGAACGCGGACCAGGACTCAGTGTCAAGGTTCTAGCTCTTTGCTTACACACGGTGATCATTCTCATGGTTCATACAACAAAAAACCACTTGGAAGCACTAAACCAACCTATATACATGTGTGTACAGCAAACTCTCCAGATCCAGACGTCCCTGATCCGGGCACCTTTCTGACCCATCCAGTGTCACAAGAATTGGCATTTTAACGGGAAAATGGCCCCAAAACTTATTGAATGGCACAACAAAATTTAATGTTTACTTCCATTCAGGAATTATGTATGTTCTGAGCTACGGGCAATTCCTGGTTACAGGCAGGGCTCGAACCTGGGGAGTTTTACTGTATATAGTCATGAGTGGCATTTGGTACTGTGCATAGCTTTATTCATACAAAAGCTACTGTTTGCACAATCTAGAAAGTTCTAGTGCTGAAACGATTACGTTTTTTTCCTTAGTGGCTTAGCTGATACCATAATGATCGGCTTATCGGCTAAACGATTATTATTGTAACTACAGCAGTACATGTACATTCTGTGAATTTCCAAAAAAATACGAGTCCAATATCGCCAACGACGGAAAGCGGGCGCATAGATCCGATGATCCCGCAACAAGTCCGTCAGTTCGGACTGACCAGACGAATACAGACAAGACAGAGGCAACTCACTGGTTGCAACCCAAAAGCTGATGGTGCCCTTCGCCTGTGACTTCGCTGACTCCGACGATGAAGTCAGAGAAGCCGGCCAGGGGTGCAGATCGGCGGATTTCGACGGATGAGCTGACTTGGGGCGCACCAACAAGTAACTAGTTTCTTTTCCTATCTATGCTCAAAATAGGCCCAGACGCCAGGCCTAGCTCGCCGTTGAGCAAATTGGTTCGGGAACCGTCGACAGAAGGGAAAACATGAAACTGAAGACCCTTACTGTCTTTGGCTCAAGACTACTCGCACGTGGAGGGAACTTCAGCCCCTGCAGCTAGTGTAGACACATACTGAGCCTGCCCGTCCTGCATGCTGTATGTAAGAAAAGTAGTCAGCTCAAAAGACGGCGACGGTGATCGCGTCGATGTTTCTCTCTAGATCGCGCCTGTACTTAACACGTACATCGATGTTACAAGTGTACAGTCATGTACATATTCGTGTCGTACTCGCAACACTTTCGATGCATGCACGCTTTGTGCGACCCCCAAAAGGGGGGAAATCTCGTACCGAGCGTAAGTACCATTCTACTCATTTAGCCGATAACATCGAAATAACCGTTCGATCTATTTCTTATCGAGTAAGTAACGAGTAATCGATATAATCGCTTCAGCACTACTAGAAACACAACCATGGCAGGGCGAGATCAAAATAAAATCGATATTCCCGGGGCAGGACCCATGTGAAATTGGTGCGGGCGGGCGAATTATTATTTTGTTTACATGTATGTACATTGTTGTGTGTAGATGTATGTATTGCATGCTGAACTTTTCTTTACGTATTTCCGGTAAATTTTAATTTTTTCAAAGACAGCAGGTATGCGGTTTACCTGTACAATTTCTGTATCTCGGCCAACGTCAGGTAGTCGTACAAGCCCGGGTTTATGTGACTCCCTGTCACAGATCTACTCACACGATCAGGGCTGTCAATAGTACGCAAAGTTATAAACCCGTGGGCTGTGCATGTACATGAACTGTTAAAAAATTTGTCTCCGGCTCGATTTTGGTGCAGGAGGGTCCGGGAATCTCTATTTTTTTGGTCTCGCCTAATACAAGTAGGGCAAAGTTGAATTGCAGTGCATCACGTCTGGTTGTCCGAATGTGCTCCCCACTTTCAAGAAGGCCACCAATGTACGGTATGGTATTCTTTATTAATTTTTACTGTTCGCTTGATGCAGTAAAATAAAGAAATCCCATACCAGACCATACATTGGTGGCCTTCTCGACAGCGGGGAGCACATTCGGACGACCAGACATGATGCACTGAAATTCAACTTTGCCCTACTTGTATCACTGTGGTTGTTTTCTAGATTGTGCAAACACTAGCTTTTGTATGAATACAGTTACGAACAGTACAATAATTATGTAGGTGTGGAGGGGATGTTGATTACTTGTGTCCATCAGATCAGAGCAGTACATTATCATCGAAATGATCCAAATTAAGGTTATTATTCAGTTCCTCTACCCAAGTCAAGTGCTTGGGATATTAGGATATTTAGTAATTCAGGAGTTGATATGAACTGGCCGCACGGCAAGAGTCTCGTTCTATATCGAACGAAATAGCAGCACGTCTATACTCACTCGCAATTTTCCTGCAAGGTAGTAGCAGTTCCTTGTGCCTTGGTCTGTTTGCTGGACTGTCGTTTAGTCGACTTTTCATCTTTCTTTCCACCTATAGTTACATTAACAGACTGGGGCGGAAATTCCAAAACACAAGGGAAACAAAATTAGGAACAATATGAGCAGGGGTCGGGACTTGGAATTACTACTGAATTACAAGGGGAGATGAACATGTTGAGAATTCCTTACACTATTTGTCAAATCTACAAATGCCTTTCGCGTTCGCTTTTCGGCTGGGAGGTCACCGCGAGGCGAATCCGGACATGACCTTCGCTCCCGCTTGCCGCGATGGGTCAAGTCCTTGAACGTCTCTTTGACCTGCAACAAGGAAATAGAACAAGAAACGGGTCTCAAACGCTGAGATCCGAGAATTACGAAGTCAATGTGGCCTTACCGATTTGGCAATATTGCCATGCCGAGGCTTAGCATGCGGGAAGGAATCATCAACCAGCTTCTGCCTGCTCATACGTCTGGTGCTGGTCATGATGAATCAAGGCCAGTTAGGTGTGTGGTGTTGGATGGGGGTGACATGAAGAGCAAAGCGAAGCTGGAAGAGAGTCCAAAGAAATTTTGGAGGTGGAAAAGGACTAACTATGCTCCCTCCATCTGTAGTGTGACTGCCAGTGAGAACGAAAGTCCGAAGCGCTCTTCCACACGCACCCGAGCAGTGCTTTTTGAATCCCGCGGCGTTGTCATGGCTGCGCAATCCCGTTCAGTACGAAAATTGACGGAAATGGATGGAAGATTTGAATTCAAAAAGACAAAAAGACAAAAATATTACACATCATCGTAGTACGCGTATACGGGGTTGTGTCATCGATCATTCACTGACGTCAGCTTGTTCAAACATGTCCGAAGAAGAAGAGGGATACCAGATATACGGGTTTCTGTATCCGCTTTGGGCATTTTGCCACCCCAACTGGCTCCGAGGCTATAGTACTAGTATATAATATTATACATGTAGCGGATTTGACATTATCGCATAACCTCTTGCACCCGGTACCCCCAATCTTCATTGGGGGTGCGCACTTCAATCTTCATTGAAGTACATGCATTAATTTTCATATTCGGAGCATAGTGCGCACCTGCGATTTAGGGCCTACAAAGTACAAGTACAAGTGAAATAGCACATCTAAAGAGTAAAGAATTTTTAAGTGCGCACTATAGTCTATACTCCGGAAAATACGGTAACTGTTCTGTACAAAACCATGAAAACAGTAGTGTAGTGTATGTAGATGTCGGTTACCATGTTACTACATGTACAATGATTATGTACACGGTTCCGAGGAGGCCGATCGCCGAGGGGATTATTTTTCAAATCCAAGGCGCGCAGCGCCGCGGGGATTATGAAAAATAATCCTCGCGGACACTGTGCAGACCACACTTTTCGGGTGATCAGCAGCGCTGCATGCAGCATGAACTAGTGGCAGTAGTGCCCTGACAGTCTGTGAACGGAACACCGAACGCGAAGTACCGGTAGTTCTGATATAGTCGTTTGTTCGTCGCCTCTCCAGGTTTTGATCCACTTATTGCCAATATTGGTTTGACTGAGGCGAATGCGGATTGTCACACACAGGCTTTCTTTGGTTTGTCTCCCAAGACGAAGCCTCATGAACTCTGCTGCTTGTTGGTAGCTGACAAGACCGTGGGGAAAAGCGATACTGATAGCGATCAAGTGAAGACGACGAAATAGTAGATATTGTAATTATTTGAAAATAATTTGAGGTTCTCTGTTCGTCTGTCACCTACCGGCGTGGAGGCGATTTATTCCCTACAAATCAAAGACTACAATGAAGAATTGTCAGACACTGACGCCCGTCCCATGCCATGGCTTAGTCAAATGGTGTAAGAGTATCCGAAATAAGATGGATTGTTTGTGATCGTGTGGAACAAATTAAATTTGACAAGACCAGTAGAGCGTGAATGGGTACATCTACACGAACATGTAGAACCAATGACATTGAGTTAGTAGTAGGCTAACTGCTGCAAAGATTTATCTTTCAGGTCTGTGAAAGAAGGAATTTTCCAAACACTGTACTAGAAACCAAAGTTTGCATTGAACGGCGATGCTCATTACTATGCGTGTTTGTCATTTCGTTCAATGTTTCTATGACAACTCGTGTGCTGGACGAGCATTTGTTGTCATTGACTCAATTTCATTTACTCTCCATAGGCTATTGGATTATTTTCCTTACTCGGTCTATTTATAACCAGTATCTATATGAGAGTGTGGTGTGTCTCTATGGTTACCGGTGTTCGGCACACCCGGTTCATGTAGCATGTTGCAAATTAACCCTTTGAGAGCCGATTGAAAATTTCAAAATTCTGCATATTTTCATGTTCTTTGGGACGTAACTTCAGTTCTACTCACTCAATCTTCACAATCTTGGGCTTCCTGGAAAGGTCTCCGCGAGAGGAAGAGACTGAGGTCACGCATGATGACCAGGACGCCATATCTCCAGCGCCGGAGAGCAGCGAACTAGCGAAAACTGCTTGAAATGCGTGCACTTTCGTCCTGCTCCAGCATTTTCATTTTTCTTGATCGCAGAGTTTCGATTTTTTCGCTGTGTACCCTTGGAAATACTACCAGTGAAACCCACGCAAATTTGAGTAACTCAGCGCGAGGAAAAGTCTCAAAATTCTCAACTTTCAAGTTGCACTCCCACGCTTTTCAAGTGCCGCGATCGTGGCTGAACTTACGAGCGATTTATCTCAAGAACCGTTGATCGCAGCGCGTCGCGGATGGGTTCTACGGCACGCTGAGAGTTTTCTCTTCAAGGTAGATATTTGGATCGTTCAATTTGAGCTAGTTTTGACCGAGTTACGGCCAGTTGAAGTCTCACAGTCGAGTGTGTAGAATTCTACACATTCAAGTATGGGTCGGCTCTCAAAGGGTTAAGATGCTCTTGACTGTTTGTTGCTGATAGAAAGCTGATAGAAAGCTGATAGAAAGATTGCCACTTCCCTAGTTTTGTTTCACCAATATGCTTTTCTTTTGCTAACTATAGCCACTTCCCCTTTTTAGACCTTATTTGGAAGGCCCATTCTTGCATATTCCTGTCCCCGGGGAAAATTGCGGAAAAAAATCGCAAAAAACGCGGGGAAAAACGCGGCATAATATGGCATAATTTTCGGTAAATATGCGGTGAATAATATTGATGTGCGGCAATTTTCAGTGAGTATGTACGAGGTGATTTGTAAAAAATTTACATAGCATATTATTTTACAAATCTAGTAAAATATCATTGTTGAGGGCGATTGCGTTCTGCACCTGAAGTGAAGTGTTCTTGTTAGTTCGACAGACAAGTCAGTTGACATTGTATTCTAGTTTGTAAGCATCAGCAGCGTTTGGCGGAATTGTTTTCTTCCACGGCCTTGTGAGACATCAATCATGGATCGAAATTCGTGAATTTGTGGTCAATGAGGTAAAATGTCCCTCAATGGGTGCTTGAAGGACGTCCAAGAGCCAGCGAGCATATTCTACGGCAGGTGGAAACCCTAGGCTGGTCACCGATGCCAGCATTGAGTCTGTCACACCATCAAAGTAGCAGGGCTGAAGAAGAGATTGGCCAAAAAGGTGAAGGTCAGAAACTGCAATTTTGACAAAAGGTGTCTTTCACTCACCTATCATGAAAGGTGATTCAAATCCAAGTCCGAAGCTGCTGATGCTTATGGCATACAGGTAAATAATTAGCCGTTCAGTAGACCTACGTATGGAACTCAGCTTGCTACCTCAGAAGTGCTGGGAGAGATTCTCCACGGCAAAGTGCAAATGCAGGAAATGCGGCATGAATGTATGTTGGGTGTTGACGGCGGAGCACCCATTGAGGGTGGTCTGCAGTCTTCTTACAACACAGAAGTATATGAATCCAAAAGTGAAGGAGTCACTGCACTTGTCTTGGAGAGTATGGAAGCCCCGACATTACGGTATGTGCCGGTTAAATGCACTGTGGCCCAGATGCACGAAGGCACCCTGTCGTGGGACGGCTGGCGCGCATCATGGATGGTATCTTTGCTTATTGTGGTTATTTCACGCATGAGGATGCACTGCAAGTTGAAAGAAATGGAGCAGCAAGATAAGGTCTGCGTGCTCATGCTCCACAATGCCGGCAGGCGCTCAAAGATACCCTATCGTTTTGAACCGCAGTTGACGACGTACAGAAACCAATACGTTGGGCAACCTGCAAAACCAGTCTGCTTTCTCTGCATGTGATTTGCTTCAGATGTATCTTGATTTCCCATTGCAAGCGTATTGACACATTTAGGTCATATTTGTTGATGTTAGATCCTATTTTACTGACTTGTAAAATTTTGTACACACTTTTTCTGGGTGAAAAATGCATGCAAAGCAACCCCACACTGTGTCTCTCATGTTTGTGGTGTTCGATCAAGAAGTCCATACGTGGATAGAGGACATACATAGTGACAGAATGAGACCATGCACACTTCAAAACTCGCCAGGGCAACGGAATGATAGCCTTTTTTACTTTCATGTAAAATTATTACAAATCACCTCGTAGTGAAATCAATCAGTTACAAGTCTCTGGTCACTGCCAAAGCATTATGAGGACTTTACGAGCATATTAAATGCGAGAATCCTTGAAAGCATAATTCCATGATTTCGCGAGCATACATGTAATCTGCCGGAGCCTAGTATGAGGTGAATAGCAATTTCTGGACATGAAAATAAAAGAGCCCCACTAGTGGCTGTGTGTTTTACATTTTTTTTAAATCTTTGTATTTATTGTATGGCCTAATCCTTCATCTTTCCAAATATTATTATTTTCAAATATGTGACTGCTGTGATCCCAGAGACTTGATAGCAGGACGTTTTTGACAGGCCAATTTTTTGGCCTAAATTTCAGTGTATGGAATTCTGGACATGAAAGCATTCCCTCACTAGTGGGACCATTGGCATTGTTATTAGGCTAGGGCCTGTTAGGGCCTGTTTTGGACTTCCCACTCTATAAAATAAAGAATACAAACAAACAACAAAGTAAAATAGTGTCAATAGGCACCATTTTTGTTATTTTTCTATTGGTGGACTGCAGTTGGCCTCTTCACACTTCTAGCCAACAGGTCCAAGACTATACAGCGTCTGAAGTGGAGTGCACATGTGGAAGCCAACAATTCGTCCATTACTTCTTATTTTAGTCAAAAATTCAAAAATCTCATGTGACATACTTCCTCCGTTAACAAAAACTTCGTGATGGATTTTGATGGATATGAAAACGCTTAGAACTGGTCAAGGACAGTTTGTATCGACTGCAAATCACAGGACGAAGGTGATTCAGCCTATGTACAGCGTCTTTACAAGAGAAACTGTTGGCGGAATGAGCAGACAGTTCAGTTTGCGTCGCTTTCGCTCGATTCATTTTTGACCTGCGTCGCTGTCGTCATCTGCTGCACGCGAGTCGTCATCTGCTGTACGCAAGTCGTCATCTCTCTCGAGTCGTTGTTCAGCTCGTTTCAGCCTTGCCTCGGCTTCTTTGATCACACTCCGCTTGATTTCGCCGTCGTTCAAGTAAGTTTGCTTTCAAGCTGCGTGATCCGCCGCGATGGCGATTACTCGTTTCCACCAGGGAGTCGTGAAAAATATTAATTTTTACGACTCCCTGGTTTCATCTTCGCTCTCCAGAATTC